ATTAGTGCTAATTGGTGGTTTGTATTCACACACTTAAACTTAAAAATGTAAAGTAATAATAAAATTATTTAAAAGAGCAACACGCAAGTTTCTTGCTCGTTCTTCTTGTGATGAGACAGCTTTCCGAGCGAGCGGTAGATTAAAAAAAATGTAATGACTATTCAAAAGTGCTTCAATGTAAGTTTATTTGAATAAATGATTTTCTATTCTATTCTATTCTATTCTTCAAATTTAAAATAGTATTACGTATTGTTTTAAATTTGAAGAAAAATTCTAGAAAAAATTATATACTGTTTTAATTTATACTATAACTAGCAACTCACCCCGGCTTCGCCCAGGTGTGTGGTGTTTGTATTATACATATAAACCTTCCTCTTGAATCGCTCTATTAAAATAAACCGCTACAAAATCCTTTGCGTAGTTTTAAAAATTTAAGCATACATAGGGACGGACAGACGGCGACAACGAATTTGTTTTATATTTTGTAATAAAGATTAAGAAAAGTCACAGGATCTTGCCACTTTTTATATATTTTGGCAATGTTTTAACCGCCATAATCACGGTTAAACAGAGGAGCGGGTAAATGGTAAATAATATGTATCTTTTATGGACAGAGCAGACATATGCGTCAACCTTCACACATCTTCATTTGTAGCTACTATTGAAACTCGCTCGATATTCATCTCGGCAAACTAATCACAGTATCTTCACGTACACTTAATACACTTTCTGATCACAATTTTTGTTTTTATTTATTTAAACCAATCACTGGATTCCAGGCATTAGAGAGCCTTGAACCGTCTTGCCGATTGAATTTTTAATATTTCTGTATTTCGATGGCCTCTCTGACCACTTGGTCATAAGTTTTTCCTAATTATACGTGTTATATATATTCATTAGTGTTAAATATATATACCTATAGGATTTAAGACTATTACACATTATTTAAGCCCCTAATCTATAAAATCTCGACCTACATACAACATTAATGTATTGGCTCATACATTATTAATCCAATTCTGACGTAACGGACGCAATGTGTCATGATTTTAATTTAAAAATTTTATTTCCTAGTATTATTATTATATAAGTGAAAGTGTGTTTGGATGGATGTTTGTTACATTGTCTCTCTGATCCATCCCCCGTCCAATTCAACCGGGGATCTAAATTACGACAGCCTGAGCCGAAGTTCTAACCCGTAGTGGTGCAGACTAAAGTCACACCTCAGAAAGGAGTTGGCCTTGAGCCACTCTATAAGTCCTTCCTTTGGTTTGGAGTGTCACCTGCATTCATCTCCTATCGTCCGATGAAGCTATAAAAGATAACTGCGGCCAACAGCGTTAGAGTAGTCCGAGAAAAATATTTATTTATGATCAATGAACGAACGGGAGACGTTGACTTCCCACAACTTTACCAAATATGTAATGAAAATCGTATAACTATATACAATACCTCACAATCCTTAAGTGGAAAAACAGACAAATATAAACAGCAACTTTGCTTTATACTATTCATAGATAGAGAGTAGTTTAAGTAAATGTTGAAAGAATGTACTTATTACCAACAAACTCTTATACAGTTTGAATACAAAAATTTTAATAAAAAAAATTATTCATGATATACATTTTAGCCGCTTACGAATGGTTACAAGTTTTTTATAATTAACGTATTTTTCCCTACCAACCAATTCAATATACAGATTCAATTAAGAAGAACTCAACTGAATTTCTCTTTTTTTACAGCCAATTTATTTACATTTCATACCATATAACTGTTTTGTCTAATATTAAACGGAAATCTTGTGTAAGAATCATTGCCTTGCACGTTTGTCATTTAAGTAATTGATGTAAATACCTACATAAAAATCTGCTCTAGAATACTATGAAATTTAATATGCAAGAATCAACCAGCAAGTAGTGAAACTTGTAATGTACCTACGGGTCACTCGTCTCGGAAATGAATTCTGCACCCATTAAGTTGGTAAACAATGTGACGGTGAAGATTAGAATCTAATTAATCATCACCAGAATCTAGCCCAAAAGGGAGATGATGCAAACCGCTACTACAAAATCCGTAAAAATTATTTATGTAATTACTTGATTCATAAATAAATTATTCACTAGTTAAAATCACGTATCATACCTACCTATACACGGCCAGTTCCGTATTGCGATAACAAAACATTAATTAACGTATTTTGGATTTAGATAATATCAGTTTAATGAACACAAAGATGATTTACATGTGTCAACATTGTTTTATCGAAGTGATCTTTGCATCTTACGGGTAAACATTTTTTTTTTACATAATAGCAATGACAAACTCTCTCCCCTAGGGAGGTGACCTCTTAGGGCGAGTAATAAAATTAAAATTACTTAAGCTTACTTAAAAAACTTGGGAAAATCTTTTTTTGTTTTTTTTTATTACGCATCTTACAGGTAAACATTTTTTATGTAATAGGAATGACAAACAACCGGACGGTAAATGGTAAGTCACTGTTACATGAACAGCGCCATTGATGTTATCATGCTAAAACTATAACAGATTTTGACATATATATTAACATAATATATAACATAAGTCTCTCTAAAATAATATATCCTCCAAATAATGAAATAATTTCTCAAATTTTTGCTTACATATTTAACTAACGCTCCTAAGAATATCCTTCAATTATATAAACAGGACGAACAGAATAGACCTATGCAGGACGCAGAGCTACAGTACCTACCTAACAATAGCCTAAAACCCTCAATAGAAAAAACTACGTAGGTTATAGAACGTTAAAAATTGTCTGAAGCCTAATACCTATATTTTATAGGTAAGGTTAATACATTTATTGCCATCAAATCCTCAAAATTGATACTATTATATTTATGTGTGATAAGTCTAGACTTATTTATCACGGTCTATTGTGCAGTTTACTGAACTGTTACGTATATTTATTTATTAAATAATTCCGTTAGTTACATATAGCACTCACATTTTGTTATCTCTGGCTACACCTGTTCGTTCACCTACTCCCGTTACGTTTCTTTGTTATTGTACCGTTTATTGTATAGTAAAAAGATAAAAAAGTAAAACTTATCTACTTACAATGGAAGAGTCATAATAAATTTAGATCTTAGAATGACTGAAAAACCTAATGTAGTGATTGTGACAACACCAATGGTTCCCCAGAGTCGGTTAGAATAGAATAGAAAAATTCTTTATCTATACATCTATACATATAAATAAAATTGGAGTGTCTGTTTGTAATAACTGCTATTTACTACATTCATATGAATATGAACACGGTACATACACCAAAATAACATTTTTTACAATTTTTGTCTGTCTGTCTGTTTGTTCTGCTAATCTCTGAAATGGTTGGACCGATTTTGACGTAACTTTTATTGACACTTAGCTGATGTAATAAGGTAAGTAACTTAGGTTACTTTTATTTAAGAAAAATTCTTTTATTTTAGAAAATGATAACTTTCATCCGTGTGGAATTTAACTAAATTCCACACGGACGAAGTAGCAGGGAACAGCTAGTTCAAAATAAATTTAGTGAAAATAAAAGTGACCTAAGTTACTTAGCTGATGTAATAAGATAAGTAACTTAGGTTACTTTTATTTTAGAAAAAATCTTTAATTTTAGAAAATGAAAGTTAAATTCCACGCGGCCGAAGTCGCAGGGAACAGCTAGTTCAAAATAAATTTAGTGAAAATAGTCACGTTTAATTTTTTTTATTCTACCACTCATTCAGAAAGCGGACTCATCTCTAGAAGAATGAGCAAAAAACTTGCGTGTTGCTCTTTTAAATAAATGTTGTTCAGCAATACACTTTTAAGTTGTTTAGAAACAAATAACCAAACGCTGTTAATTTGAAATTACAATCAGACTGTTCAAATTTATTTATATATTTACTAGCCGTCCCGGCAAACGTTGTTTGGCTTTAAAATAAAAATAAAAATTTAGGGGTGGACTACCCCTAACATTTAGGGGAATGAAAAATAGATGTTTGCCGATTCTCAGTCCTACTCAATACGCTCACAAAATTTCATGAGAATCGCTCAAACCGTTTCGGAGGAGTATAGGAACGAAAACTGTGACACGAGAATTTTATATATAAGATAGTATATTATAGTATCAGGTGAGTCGTAAATAATTTTCTCCTGTTTACTATAAAAATATGTAGGAAGGTGATAACAAAATACCTAATTAAGTTGACACAAATATTATTCCCGGCGCAGGGGTCAAATCCGTGAGCGGCCGAGAATTGTGTAGGTATACCTCACTGTTATCAACAATTGATAAACGACGCGATTTCATACATTCTTATTCTGTGTGTAATTGTAGTATGAGGCAAGAGTTGGCCTTCAGCCACTCCCTAAGTCCTTCGGCTGGTTTGAAGTGTCAAAAGTGTCGTTGTAAATAGTTAAAAAGTGAATCATGATAGGATGAGAGTATGGTCTCGCTTGTGAGCCCCTCATAGGAAATTAACCTGGAAATTATAATTAATTGGATAATCTAGTCAGAAACCGTGCGTAGAACCTACTTAATATTGCTGAAACGTTGCTGTCAATGAGGTCATTAACCTTAACACTTTTATATAATTGGTATGACAACATGTTGGCCATCCACCTGATGGTAACTGTCGTTTACAGTCATAACAGTACTGTGGACATCACGTTATCATCTGATATCTGATTTCCGTGAATAAGTTTCATAGGGGAAAGGGAATACTCCATAATCTGGACTAATAACCCCATTACTAGCAATGTACCATGTCATGTTGACCTCCATGTGGTTCCCCTGGAAACCATCGTGATAAATTCATGGTGAACACGGTGGGCTAACTGACCTGACCTCATGTTCATCTTAACATCCTCCACTGGTGCCCCGCCAGCGTAAACCGATAGGCGGTTGCACCTTTCTATTATCATTTATAAGAAAAAAAATAAGTTTAGTACAGCGTTTTCGTCTTTATAGATTTAGTACTTTTTGCTTCTAGGTATTTAGCCCACTGTCACGGTCACTTGATAAGCAAGATGGCCATTATTGGGGCACTTCATCCGAATCTCTACTGGCAGAATCCGCCAGTTTTCTGCAACGGCGCTCTACATTTCGTTCAGGTACATGATTAATCGAAAGTTTTTCACCTTATTAATAAAAACTAAAATCTATAAACCTACTTTAACCATTTAAATGTTCCGTTACTTAATTTTAGACTAGCTGGCCTACATAACTTCGCTTTTATCACGTTGTCATTGTTTATGTACCTAATATTAATATTTTTCATTATTTTTATTATAAAGTTATGTTTTTGCGTTATCATTGCATAGTATAATGACATTATTTTATGCATACGCTAGTGGTGGTCACTTTATTCAATCACTGTCATTGTATATGTTTATATACTTAGTATAATACGTATTATTATCAACGGCGGAACCAGGGGGGGTCATGGGGGTCATGAAGAAAAGAAAAGAGTATTTCGTCAGTCTACAGACTGACTAGAGACCTGACTAGAACTGACGAACGTCTGTTCGACTTGTAGATTTGACTTATAAGTGTTATTCTTTATACAAATAACTAGCTACTCGTCCCGCCTTCCCACGGTGTACATGTATTATGCATATAAACCTTCCTCTTGAATCACTCTACGTATTAAAAAAAACCGCTTGAAATTCCGTTGCGTAGTTTTAAAAATTTAAGCATACATAGGGACAGACAGACAGCGACATCGACTTTGTTTTATACTATGTAATGATTATGTATGTTTCAAACGCCGGAGCATAAGAATTTAAGAAAGGCTAAGGCGGGGTAGTTATGTGCCACAATGAAGGTTGGGAAACACTACTCTTGAAGTACCTAATGATGTGCAGGTTAATTTTCCAACAGGACACATTAATTATATTTTATGTAATGGCTCCGTTAATTGGTGTCGATGTTTATTGTCCTACAATTCTGGTATAATTAATGACCACTCTCACATCAAAACCTTTCCCCCGTTGATAAGGCGTGATAAAAGTTACACAAATTATAATTACCAAGCACCCAACATGTAATTATGAAACATAGGTATTTTATTTACACAGTGATAAGTTATTATGTATATGTATCTACAAGTGAAGGTAATATATGATTTTGATATGGGACATATTTTCGAAAAAAGCATCGCATTTTGAATATGAATTTTAATTTTCTTCTAAATTAAATTAAAAAAATCTCCACTTCTTTCTATATTAGATCTAATACATATCCATACTAATATTATCAATCGCGAAAGTGTCTGTATGTCTGTCAGTTTAGTAATAAAAAGATATTTTTTTATGACTCAATGTAGAAGTGAAAAAAGTTAAGAGTTCTCTTGATACCCACGAGGATAGCCATAGGCTATCGTTAATCTCAAAAAAGTAAACGAAGCCACGGGTAATAGGTATAATATATTAATAATTATGTACTTTGTCAAAATAACATTACTGGTTATACTTATTACTTATATGCATATAAATATATGTACAAACTAATATTACCTAATTATTAATAACACACGGTTACAAATACATATAAAAATGTCAAAGAATTCATATGAGAAATCATTATTACTCTTTGGATTAAAAAAAAAATATGTGTGGGTTAATATAGTTGATGGTTTTTCTTCTAGTGGCCATATTTGCCGGAGCGGTGGCTAGCTGAAGGCGAATTACAAGACGGCGAGGATGGTCGATGGACCAGCTCGCGGGCGTGTGATTGGACAGGCGCTCTCAACTATATCAGAGGTACAGCACTGAAATCTTATTTATGATCCCAAAATATATATATAGAAATAAGTAATATATAGAACTAATACTTGTTAATTATGTTAAACAATCACTGTAAAATTACATTTAAGCAATAAATTGCGTTTTATTTCATACTAGATGTGCCAGAGTCTGTTATAAATCTGCCAGAAAAAAGATTTAATTTCAAATAAAACCGTTCCTTTGCAAAAAGCTTACTATAAAATTGAAGAATTCGTTAACGATAATAATGTTTTTATAGAAAAACTTTAAATCCATAGCACTGACAATATTATTTGATTACACTAATAATGAGTGCGTAGTGATTTCTATGTTGATTATCGCATGCCGCTTACTTGTTATACTGTAATTATTTATATAAAAAAACATCTATTAAAAAGAGCAACACACAAGTTTCTTGCTCATTCTTCTTGTGATGAATCTGCATTCCGAATGAGTGGTAGAATCAAAATATGACTATTCAAAAGTGCTTGTAATTTGTTTATTTGAATAAAGATTATTTCTATTTCTATTTCCGCGGTTTCACCCGCGTATTCAATGAAATTCAATCAAAAATATAGCCTATATGTTATCCTGATGCATAAGCTATTTAACTGTAAAGTTTCATCAAAATCCGTTTAGTAGTTTTAGCGTGAAAGAGTATCATCCATACTCACAAACTTTCACTTTTATAATATTACTAGCTTTTGCCCGCGGCTTCGCTCGCGTGAATTTATCCTCTTAAGGGTGGAATTCATCAAAATCCTTTCTTAGCGGATGCCTACGTCATAACATCTACCTGCATGCCAAATTTCAGCCCGATCCGTCCAGTGGTTTGGGCTGTGTGTTGATAGATCACTATGTCAGTCATCTTCGAGTTATATGTATATATACTTAGATTAAGATTGCCATTCTTTCTTGCTATTGTTAAACAGGTGCCGCTTGGTGGCGCATCAGGTCTGGTCATATCGTGGAAGCACCAGTACTCCTGGTAGGAGCTACCACTGGCGCGGCTCTGGTAGTCGCTTCCGCACTCCACTGCAGCGCGTCCAAGATTCGCCTAGTGGATAAACCAGATCCAACCGACGAAAAACTGCCGGCGATAGTACTGGACTTTTTAATCGGTAAGATGCATTCATTCATATTTTTTATTTCTGAGACCTTTCTGTTTAGCACACCGCCTTACTTTTAATGGTCGCGGGTTCGATTCCTCGCACAGCACAAACACTTGTATTCATGACTATGATTGTTTGTATCGGCCTTTGTGTTTTCTATATATAATATGTACCTATCTATTTGTATCAGTTATCTAGTACCCATAACACAAGCTTTAGCTAGCTTAACTTGGGTCTAGATGGCGCTGTGTGAATTGTCCTGTGATAAATTCGTGGTCAATTTGTCACGATGGGCTAACTGACCTGACTTCATGGTCATCCTATCATCCTCCACTGGTGCCCCGCCAGCGTAAACCAATAGCGCAGGCGGTTTCCATTCCATCATCCATTAATCATAAGATAACAGAGCAACCACGTCTCAGATATATAAGAAAACTAGATTATTTTTCGGACTATTCCCCGTCCATTTTTATATATCCATTAAAAAAAGATACGAGAACCACAGATATATAAGAAAACTAGATTGTTTTTATATATTTTTCAATACAAAGGCAGTAGGTACAATTAAGGAATCACCTCACAATTGTAATCTAAATGCATGCAACGCCAGTAATAAAAATAATCTTTGTGTAATCTTTAAACAATAATATTGTAACATTATTGGCTCCTTATCTTAGAGATTACCGAATAAATTGAATAATAAAATATCTGCGGTCACCACACTGACGATGTTAATGTTAATCTGCCATAGTAACGCCGATAATTCTCTTTTTCTTTATACAATAATTATACTACATCAGGCGAGCCGTGAGCTTGTTTGCTAATCTAACTAGTACAAATAAATATACTTGAAACTACCTAATTTACAACCTTATTAAAAAGTATGAACTTTCCTCTTTTAAACTTTATAAACTGTGCCTGTGACATCATCCGCTTGGAAGAATAGTGGATTGGATAACATTTTTAATTCTTTAGACTAATTTATAACAAGCCTAAACAAATTTCAACGTTCTAGCCTCAAAAATGACGAATTTCTGTACAAACTTTCATCGCCTATTTTATTTTACCCCTTAAGTGTAAAATTTTTATAAGTTTTGAATGTCATATTTGTTTTTATTTAATCGACATCCTTAAAAATAAATTTCAATATTCAATATTTATTATATAAATTATTTCAATACAAACTTTCACTTCCCCTTACAATCCTATTTCCGCATTAAAAAGTAGCCTATGTCCTTTCTCAGTGTCTAGACTATCTGTGTACCAAATTTCATTTAAATCGGTTCAGTAATTTTGGCGTGAAAGCGGGACAGATAGACAGACAGCACCTTTGCACTTTCTGTTAGACCTATATTTAAAACTAAACCAAACTATATTATGTAACCTACTCCATTTATTGAGTATCTCCCCAAAAACGAGATATAATATCTACACAGGCATAAAATTCTATTTCGAATATTTGACAAAACCTATAACGTTTTAGACAGTGGAAAGGAGATGCTTCTAAAATCGCCTTACCCTCTACTCTTGGGTAATACTAGGATTTCCTAACATGTTATCACTCCCATTTAATACGTTCTGGGCTTGCACGTGATAATCGTATGATTTAAATACATGTACGATATTACGCGACACAAACAGCGTCCACTCTATTATCACACGAAAGTAAAATCAAAAATACATTGCTTCATTATCTGTGTTTATTTGCATATTTTTTTCTATTCTCTGTTGATACATCGTGCATTATTGTTTGGGTTTGAAGAGATAAGGTTATAATTGCCGAGATTAGAGAACTCAAGATTTGTTCGAACTCGAAAAGCATCCGGGAAAGATTTTCAAAGTTCTGAATGAATCCTTGGTAATTTTTATGTCAGTTACAGATTGAAACTAATCTAAATTAATATATAGATAAATGTTAATGTTAGTTGGACTCTGTTATCCGCATTGGGACTCTCATCTGGGCCGTTGTTCGTGTAGAGCCGAATCTACTAAAGTAGCCAGCCAAGGTCCTCCCAGAAGCGTGTCTTCCCGGTGTCTTCACAGGCTCACGGAGCGACCTCACCTATTATATATCAATGTGACCGATTTTTTTTACTAATATATAGACATTTTGTTCTGAGGGAAGTAAACTCCAAACCCACTGCAATTTGATATTTTTTTCACTGTGTGAAAGGTGGGTATAGGTTGGTAAATTAGTGTAAATTATTCCAGTGTGCAGACTTCTTTATTATGTCAGTCCATATAAAACACAAAGTAATGATCGTCTGAGCAAACCTCAGGCAAGTCCCCTATTAAATAAAATTAACTCCTAATCGATAAGAAAAAACCACGGCAATGCAAAATATATCAGACCAAATGACTAGTTCTGTGACAATTAATAATGTATTCATTTTGTTGCAGAAAAAAAAGCACCCATACTAAAGCAGCCTCAAGAAGTATCCAGAAGCATGTTAAGGGGTCTGCTGGGAGCGGTAGCCGACCGAGGGCGAGAACTCACCAGCAAGCTAATGCATGGTACCAACGACAACAGTTCATTAGTAATACCTGTTCAAGGATAACTTGGGAGAAAACAGTGGAATAACTTTTTATATACAAATACAAAAACATGACTGAGAAATAACGCAAGACAAAAAAGTGTTGTGTTGCTATCGTTTTCGTTGTCTTACAGTATCTTACAGTAAGAAATTTTGTTTTGGTTTTGTTGAATTCCATTGCTAGAGTCAATAACTAAAAATTCCCTCCTCCAGTGTGTAAGTTTGCTTTAAAGACGAGATTCGAAGCTGAAGTACTTGGTACTGAGGTTCCAGATTTTTTGCCACGAAGGATGTATACATGATGCTTCTAGTGACGTAAAATTTTATGATCTGTGGCAGCTTCAAATCAGAGAAATGCCTCGGTTGTTAAAATTGTCTTTCATGTGTGCAAGCGTAATTTTGTAATACATATTTAGAATCGAATAAGACAATTATAGGTTTTAGTTAATACTTTCGTTTATTGGTCGCCATTACTGTTAGTGTACATTATACTAGTTCAGATATTTTTAATTATGTTAAAAATATTATGAATCAAAAACAACATTATAGTTGTAACGATGTATAATTGAAGTCTTTAATACTTACCATTTTATATATTTTATAAAATGAATTGTAAAGTTAATTATGCATATATTAAAATATCTTTGTATCAGTAGTTAGTACTTAGGTAACATAAGATTGGAACTTAAATAATTAAAAAAGATTTATAGTATCTTCTTTCAGTTGTAATAATTTAAGTTCATCTCACTTTTCAGAATTATAAGCATATGTAAGCCTCGAACAATTTATGGATGAGTTTATTATTTGTTGAATAAGGTCATTCTTTATCTCTACATTATTCACAATAAAAAAAATATTATTAATATACTGTAGACATTATCTTTTGAGCCTATGTTGTGATTGATTGTATTACCTATAACGCCATATATATTATAACTTTATATTATATTATTATATTGTTACCAATTTATAGGTGGCAAACAAGAACTTGATGGTTACCATAGCCTATGGACGCCTGAAACACCAGGGGTGTCACATGCGCGTTGCCGACCCTTAAGAAACCTTAATATACCCTTCTTGAAAACCCCCATGCTGTGTCTCTCGAGAAAACCTAAGTTTAGCTCCTCTGAAACCGCACTGTTATTGTGGTAACCGTAATTAAGGTACTTTAAATACCACCAATGTGGTTATACACTCTGTACTGAATTTCACAAATAACCCTATCAAGTTCTTACGATTCTAATTGTGGTAATTTTTGTGAAGCTATTGTGGTAAACGTAACTAAAGTACTTTAAGTACCACTAATGTTCTTAAATATATTCTCGGTACTGACAGATTTTTCAAATAACTAAATAACCGTATCAAGTTCTTACCGGTTACCAATTGTGGTAACTTTACTGAGTTATTGTGGTAGCTGTAACTATACTTTAGTTAACTACTTAGTTAACTACTACAATGTAATCAAAATTTATAGTATGTATGTGCATCCATTGTTACTAAAATCCTGTATTTACAAAATATGATTATCATACTGTAAGAATGTACGTAGTAAGAAAGAGTTGCGAATTCATATTTGTGTGTAAGTGTATATATGAGTGCGTGTGTGTTTATATCTGTGCGAGAAGATTTCTGTAATTATTGAATCTCTACTGATACAAAGAGACGATGAACATAATGTTATGTAAAATCTACTATCGTTAAAAATATAATTATAAATTGATATTGTTTTTATCTTAGCGCTCGTATCACTTTGTTATCGCAAAACATTACCAAAGATAATTATTTATAAACAATTAAGACATTTCACCAACACATAGACATAATTAATTTATAAATTATCTTTATAATTTTATGTAAATAAAACTACAATAATAAGTGCAAACGCCTCTTTTAATACGCAATATGCCCACAAAAAGCTAACCATTTATAAATTTCGCTATCAATATATTATATTCACAATTCAATAGAATTTAAAACTGGTTTATGATTACAGTACATTGCACGTTCGACGCAATGTGAGAAACATATAGAAATATTATTAAAATTCACCTTCAAGACTGTTAGAACCGATGGGGTAAACAGTGATATTATGGCCATAGTTCAAGTCACTACCTCTTGATTTATTTTGTTTTATTATCGATATCTCTGTAACCGTAGTTAGTCAGAAATATAAAATTAAACACTTTGGTAAGAATAATTATAAGTAAGATACGAACTTACAACCTATAAGGTACATAAGATTATTTAATAATATTTCTATATTCATTATTTGTAATAATTACAAATTTTCAATTGCCTAATTAAAAGTATAGCAAGGAAGATACTTCATATCACATTAGCTGAAATAATGCGTAACAATATTACTACTGTTGGGAATTGACTTTATTTCTTTAATTAATTTGCTGTCCGTTGTTAAATAACCCGTTTATATGTGTGAAAAGTATTTAAACCTCTACTGTGAATAATATATTATATATACATAATTGACTGCCTCAGTAGTCTAATGATTCAGCACACTGTCTTACTTGCGATAATCACGGGTTTAATTGCTCGTATGACACGTTTCTATTCATGAATATCAGTGTTTGGGTTGGTCGGATGTACTATGTAGGTATGTTATGTATGTATTTACAAAAAAATATATTTAAGTTATAATTATTTGGTGGTCTAATACCCATAACATAATCTCGGCTTTGTTTGGTACTACATGGCGTGTAATTCACACAGCGCCATCTTTCTAGTGTTATTATTATTATTAAATAATATATATATTTTTTAATAATTATTATATAACATAAGATAACTTCAATTGTTTATAACTTCACTATTAATAACACTCTTCCCCAAAAACAGTTGAATAGTGACGACGTGAACAATTTTCAAACAGGTGTAATACATTCAAGACATTGAGTCTGATAAATAAATTGTTGAAACATCATAAATTTAAATAGCAACTGCATGAGACTCAAATAACGTACAAATTAATTTAAAAAATAAATGTCAACCGCCCAATACTCTAAATATAGTACCTACGAGTTTAAATGAAATATACACAAAACTATATCAATAGCTGTTATAGTTACGGTGACGATTTGTGGTAACTTTATTAAGTTACTGTGGTAATCATTTAAAGCACTTGAAATACCACCAATGTGCTTAAATATACACTCTGTAATGAATTTCTCAAATAACGAAACTATATCTACAGCTGTTATGGATAATTGACAATGTTAGCTGACATGTCAGTGATGACTGGAATAAATTCTAGAATTCTTGTATAACAGAATAGCAGAAGGTAGGTAGTAGACCACTTTGTCTCCATTCATACATTTAAACTTGTTATAACCATAAATTGTAACAAATCATTTTATAGTATGTAAAGATTTATTATCTTTACATACTATAAAACATAGTCGCCGCAGCTGTCTGTCCGCCTATATCTTTTAAATTACCAAAGGATTTTAATGCAGTTTTTAGCAATAGATAGTGATTCAAGACGAAGGTTTATACATATGTATAATACAGCGTGTTATAATATAGAACAAGCCGAGAAATTCAAACATTTTGTGTGGTAGCCAGTTATATACAAAATGTAAACAATAAAATTCTGTGTATATTCCATTTGCAACTCAGATTTGCAATTGTTGAAACAATATAGGCCGAGACACAATAATAGGCACACGTATATATATAGCACGTTTACTTACATTTTCTAGAAGTGTAAAAAATGAGATACTGTGAAGAGCGCTATACAATGTCGATTTGATTGTATAATTAATCATAACAAACCCAATCTACCTATTAGAATATTTATTAATTAACCCCTAATATATATATATATGTATTGGTAAATTTGTTAAAGTTCTCGCTATTACCCCACAACGCTTTCTTATTATGTCCTTAAGTTAGTTGGGAGAAAATGCCATAAGGCTCGCCTATTGTACAAAAGTTTTGTTTGATAATACAAAATTAAAAATAAATATTTGACACTTTCTTATTAATTAAGAAAACAGCATGAAAGAAAGGAACAAAATATTTCAATAACTAAATTGGGTTTATACATGGAACTTTAGTAATTGAATTTTGTAATCTACCGACCTTTTCACGGTTACAATTAAGAACTACAATGCGAACTAACCGCATCTGCAACTCTCAAATGGTTCATATAAAATTGCAAACCTATTTTATTCAGGTACAATTAAGAATTGTTACTAACAACCTTACTAAGCCCCTGGCTCTACACAATGAAACGAAATAAACGCTCTACGAAGTGAGGCAATTAACTTCAATATATTTTACAATTTTTTATTAACTTTTTAAATTACAAATCAAAACAACATTGCATAAGCAGACTAGATGCAGGCGATATATACTACTCAGTCAATTATTTAGAATACCAATGAAAGAGACAGATAATGGAAAGAGATAGACGTCGAAACTTGTTGCGTTTTATCAATAAATTTCATGTAGACATTCCGAATTACAACGTGCCTTTAGTCCAAGTAGTTCTTAACTTAATTAAAGTCGCTATAGTGCTGTATTTTACTCTAAAAACTATTATTTCCGTACACACAAAAATTATTAAGCAATAGATTACTGAAAGAACAGATTTAAATTTCGAATAAAAACCCGCGCAATTGTCATGACGCCATTTTGTGACGTCACTCGTATCACCTTTGTAAATTATGTCAGTAATAAGATGCGAGTAATGTTCTCTGTAGTCGTACTGCACTATAGGAGTTAATGAATAAGGACATGACAGATATGACGTCATATGATATTAAGAACCGCGCTCTTACCAGTATTTGTATTGTATTTTAATCAACAGATGACTCTCAGTTTTTTTGTCATAGTTCTACTACAGTGTACCCTTTTACATTTGTGTAATAGAACTATAGGATTACAAACATACAAAACGTACAGTTTTTTTTTTTAATTTAATTTTTTATTACAGTAATTTTTTTTATATACTGGAATAGCAACACAAGGTTTGGACCCAGCCTTGTTTTTTTTTTAATAATGATAAGAGTTGTCTCTTATCCATCGCTAATATACATGAACAATACCACGTATAACGACATCTCGTTGGAAGTCTAAAGACTAAAGAATTAAGCCTCCTGTACGGCATAACTTCACAGAATATATTATCAAGCAAATTACATACGGTTGCGACATCCATTCATATCCATTATTGTCTATGGAAGAAAAGGTTACTTCAAAATGCCTATCACACCTATCTAGAACATTCCATTGAACAATTTTGGCACGTTATTATTAGTACAACCTGACATCCATCTTACACAAATACTAAAGCCATAGTTTATCAGACCAATATAAACTTACAAATAAATAACTTTACACATAAATTATTGTACATCTTAATACTAACATTATACAAAGATTGTCGTAATGGCACTAGTTTTTTTTTATTCTATATTTTAGTCATCCGAATCTATTTGTTACTTAATTATAAAATCATTCTTTTTACAATTCCGTTATCAGATATTTAAGAATTTAAAACTTTAGCAAGTGGTCCAATTTTGTCTATGGAATTACTTTTTTTATATACAAATAAAACAAAGGAATAAAATCATAAATACATCAATCTTAGAATTATATTGTCGGTAAAACTATTTGAGATTAATTACTGTCAAATTCTTTATGATATAGATATGATAAGAAGGAAACAAAATAAATTATATTACGTTTATAGACATATTTTAAAATTAATAATACTTACCCCTAGTAGTTTAGTATACATTGAACTTACAAACACAAGTCTTCTTATTTATATTCTACAAAATGTATAAAATTTCAATACAATAAAAGTAATTTCTATTTAAATCTATATCTACTAATATTATAAAGAGGTATAGTTCGTGAGTTTGAAAATTCTTTTAGTGTTGAATAGCTCATTTATCTAGAAAGTATATAGTCTATATAACATCACGCTGCGACCAATAGGAGCAGAGTTGCAATGTAAATATTGAAATAACTGAGAAATATTGACGCAGATAAATTTGCGCGTAAAATGTATAAATGAACTATATAATAATGTTATTTTCCATTAAAATATGATTATAAAAATTCTATAACAGTTACAAATTAATAAAACATAAGCATTTTGTTCTAATAAATATGTCATTGGACCACTTTATATTATGTAACGTAAGAAGAATTATCTTTAGAAAACATTATCTACAGTATATAAATGCATACCTCAATTGATATAGTGGATAACTTAGTAACAATATAGTACAATACTCCAGCTAAATCTGATACAGCTAACATAAAAAATTGACAACAAACATATATTCTTACCACGTAACTAAAAAATACGACATAGAAACAGATTTGAATGGAATACCACAAAAATTAAGTTTCTATGATTTTTTAAAATAATTAAGTTTTAATTAATATAATTTAATTTAAGTTTAATTTAAGTAATTTAATACTTAAGACAATATTCATAGAAGTATATAAATTAAAAAAAAAACAATAATGAGGTTGAAATTCATGGAATATATGAAGTACAAAAAACAGTCATTTTGAAAATAAAACTTAATTATCGTATCGAGAATTCAATGATTTTCTAAGCATTTTGCTTTGACCATTTATCAATACATTAACATAAATAATATTAGCAGAAGTTAAAACTTTGTCAACATTTCGACTAATTAGATTAACTAACAAAGCGAGAACGTATCAATTTTATGTCACATTTTTTATGCCAACTGTACACAACCAAATTTACACTGTTGTTTCACCATTAACATCAACGTCAGAAATAGCTTCACTCACACAACTGTCACTATCGGCGGGCTTCAGCGTGACGTCACTATTCACTGTCACATCTAAGCCCATCTCCTTCCGCGGGGTCCTCTCTTTATCCCTACTGGTTATCTGCGTGTACAACTCGTCCAACTCACTAGCAAACGACACTGGGCTACTGTCACGATTCACTTCCGGACAACTCAACGCTGGCGTCGGTACGTATTTCCCTAGCTTCGGGTTACTTTTTATCGTCTTCCGCCAACCCGGATCGTAATTCACGTACTGGCTCTCGAGATTCGACACGTCTTCGTTACTGAAACTTATCTCGTTCGGACACATCGATGACGGCGAAGGGGCGTACAGGCCATGACTTCGTATACTCACCTCGGACATTTGGTAATTAGGACAGTAAATATCGCTTTCGTTCTCGAAGCCCTGTTCACTGGCGTTTGTGCTGCATGTTTCAAAGTCATACGTCGTTTTGGCCATGAAAAAACCTTCTTTATCTTCATCTATTTTTTCCTTCGAATCGGTCAAGTCGTTGTCTGGATTCTGGAGTAAGTTGTCCATTTCTCCCAAACCTGTCTCGTCTAAACGGTGCGGGGTGCTCGACCGGTTGATTTCGTCACTGTTCATAGTGCATTCTTCAGATATATCTTGTAAGGACTTATCTATACCATCTTTGGCGTCTTGCTTGGGTTGAATATAGTCTATATATTGGCCAAAGCTTTCTGTGTCAGTGATTTCATTGGTCGAGCATAAGGCACTGTGGGTCTCCTGAAACGAAGTCAGTTCTGAGTGAGTGTTTAATGTCTGATCGGAGCATGTATGTGGTAAGGCTATCTCTGAAGCTGAACTGTATTCTAAACTACATTGCTGTGAAATTGTTCGCATTTCTGGTTGTTCGCTTGCGTGACTTTGTAGACACTCTTCAGAGACACTGCTCCTTTGACAAGAAAATGGTTTTGGCGCATTAGCCTTAACAATCTGATGCTGAGGTACCTGAGTTTCAGGCACATTTGTATAAATATTCATAATCTGAACCCTAGGTTTAGTATCTTCGTTTTTGTTCCACGATTTCCTGTCCATTGAATATTTCTTATAGTTATCTTTCGGTTCCTCCTCCAATAAGTTTGGATTAATCACATTACGCGTTTCTTTGATCCCATTATTTGATCGCTCCACATGTATATTAGTATTATTGACTTTTGAACCTGAGTTAATAATATTTGCCATGCCACTGTAAGCTTCTCTAGTCGGTAACGGAAGGGAAATATGCGAATCATTATCACAATCTCTTCTAACAGGGAGTTCCAGGCAATTTCTCTTCATATTCTGCCTCTGTTTCTTAAAGAACTTCTTAGCGACATTCATTTGGTTAGGATTATAGAATATTTCTGGACCAACATTACCGTTTTCAGGATATGTCATCATCGAGTTATTTGATCTATATTGCTGTCTATGTAATACGACTAAATTTATATTTGCTGCTTTTCCGTTAGTGTTTTTAATATGATCTTTATGAAGTGTCTGTCCGTTTAATTCAGCTCCAGCTTTATAAGTTCCGCTATTATTTGTTTTTGAATTAGTTCTATTAGAACTTCTACTGCCAGATCTAGATCTGTTGTCATTGGGTATCGGAAGAGTCATGGGGGTAGTAGAAGTGGGTACACCAGGTAAATTCTGTTGATTAGTGTCAAAAACACTCCTATTCCTGCAGCACTGCTTACTCTTCTGCAGATAGCAATGCATCATCGACCATTGCGCTCTGACGTCACTTCTAGCAATCCCATAGAAGAATAGTATAAAAGTGCCCAATACGGTTGCGCAGACGGCGTAAATAATACTGCATATATCCTCCTGGTAGGGCAAATAGGCTGGTAGAGGTCTATACACTGTGATCGCCCCACAAGACCAAACAGACATGTACAAACACAATACTATAACTTGCGCACGCAACTGTATTATTGGAGTATGTTCTATATCATCAATTTCCGAATCCGCAGCAGACTTGATACTTCTTCTCTCCGTGCCCTCATTGGTCTGATTAGGTTCCCACATCTCTAAATCCACATTCTCAGTCGCTTGTGTCCCTTCTGATAATTGTACATTCATATTCCTGATTGTACAGCGTATGAGTAAGAATAATATAAGTAAGAATATTAGCAATATACCACCAGGTACAAATAAAGCACTTAACGCTGGAGCTGTACTTAAAAAGCATTGCGAATAACCTGCATAGTCTTTTAAGTTGACCGCTCCAGATATTCCGCATACAATCAAAGCTATCCCCCATCCTACTAAGTAGAGCCCTAAAATTGGCTTCTGTACCGGCACATCGGGAGGAATATCATCTTCTGGTGTCCTGACAGGATTGTGCGTCTTTGTCACCCATTTGTACATATTACTAGCTGATACGCACATCCATAACAAGCAAGAGAGAGACAGATAGTGTATCAGCAGTCCCAATATTTGGCATAACTTTATATCTTCCGTTTGGTATATGCCTAATGTGTACATGAAGCAAAGTAGGCCGATGGCTATCCAAGTGTTGATTAATGCGTGTTTGGTCTTCTTGGCCATTTGTATAGCTGGGTAACACATGATGTATGTAAGTGTAGCACAACTAACGCACCCGATTAGTATAAGGCTGCCGACGTATACAGCTGGATGGGAGACCTTGAATCGAGCTCCGTCCGTTCTAGCCCCATAAATACCAGTTTCAACGTTCTGCAGTAGTCCTACATATGCCAGTTTGGTGCAGCTTATGATAATCATATCGGATATAGCGTGAGTTATTTTGCAATCTGTAATTGGGAAATATAGTTTAATACATTACTAAAAATTTATACATAGTCCAGATACAAAATCATATGTATGTATGTATTTAAGTAGTCTATATATTTTTTTTTTATATTTTATGATATTAGTGGGCTAAATAATAAATACCTTATAGACTAACATATATATGAATTAATATTATAATCTTATATATAAAAATCTCGTGTCACAATGTTAGTTACCATACTCCTCCTTAACCGATTTTATGAAAATTTTATATGCATATCCAGTATATCTGAGAATCAAGTACTATTTTTCATACAACTAAGTGGTAAGGGTTGTCCAACCCTAACCTTTTTGTTTTGTGGAGAATTTTTTTGTAGCGAGCATTAAAAAATACATACAACCCTAAATTTTCACCCTTCTAACACCAACCCCTATTTTTTTAATAGCGATTTTAATTTGTGGCAAAACAACGTCTGTGGTGTCAGCTAGTATTAATACAAAATTGTCTCTGTGATCACGGCACCGACGATGACAATCTGCTACAGTAGCCCTGATATACCAATATTATTTATTTATTCCTTTGCACACAAAAATGTATACCTACATGGGGGGCTTAATGCCTGATGGCATTCTCTACCAGTCAACCTTTATAACATATTATGATCTGACGAATTTGTTAAATATTAGCAAGTGATTTACCCGTGGCGGTGTCATCCCAGCGCGGACTGCGCGCGGACCAGAGAGCGACACGTGCGGCCGACGGAGACGTGCGCGCGCGCAGCGTCGCTATCACCGGCTCCAGCAGCACCTCCCCGCCCCCCGCACCGCCCGCACCGCCCGCACCACCCGCACCACCACCAGACTCCCCTCCCGCTGTGGACCGACGCGCACCTTTAGTAGATACCTTTACACCTTCACTTCCCCGTCAAATCCCGTCCAATTCAAACGGGATCGAAATTATGACAGCCTGAGACGAGGTCGGAACTAGTCCGAAAAGTGCCATAAAACCCTAGTGCTCTCGCATCACTAGGGTTTTAGGGCACTTTAGCCTGAGAAGACTAAACTCATATAATATAATAATAATAATACAGGGCCATCTAATCTCAATCTTGTATTATTGGTACTAGATAACTGATACAAATACTAAGATACATTTTATATCATCATCATCATCATCATCTTAGCCCGGCAGACGTCCACTGCTGGACATAGGCCTCCCCCAAAGATATCCACGACGATCGGCCCTGCGCTGCTCGCATCCATCGCCTTCCAGCGATCTTGACCAGATCGTCGGTCCACCTTGCTGGAGGCCTTCCCACGCTGCGTCTTCCGGTCAGCAGTCGCCACTCGAGGACTTTATTGCCCCAACGGCTATCTGTCCTACGAACTATGTGCCCCGCCCATTTCCACTTCAGTGTCGCAATTCTTCGGGCAATGTCAGTCACTCTAGTTCTTCTGCAAATCTCCTCATTTCATATACATACATAATATACATAGAAAACACCCAAACACATCATACACATTAATACAAATGTTTGTACCGTGCGAGGAATCGAACCCCCCACAATCGGAAGTAAAGATTCCACGATTTTCCATCATATTCTTTATCGTTGACACAATGGATGCCTTACCCAACTGAAATCCAACAACCGGCGTAGTGATTTCCATATTCATGTCTTCCCTCTTGGTACTTCTTCCGTAATAGTCCTTCGCTCTGTAGCTCCAGTAGGGTCCGCTTTCGTTCTGCTCCGGCAGCAGAGGAAACAGTGATGCGTCCTCGTACATAGCCACCACTAGGTCTTGAGACTTGATCTGCAAGCTCCCTGATTCTGTTGTGCTGTACAGAAATGATTGTGGTATCTGGAAGATAATTATTTAGTTTTTAATGCCATTTTTTTAGCAAAGGGAACAAACTAGCTTGCGGCTCACCTGATGGTGAGTGATTACTGCATGAGCACCCATAACACCAGGGGAATTACAAGGTCGTTGCGTGTCTTTTAAGACATAAGCTGTTTTATTGAAGGTTTCAATATCCTACAGGTTTGGAAATACCATTGCTGGAAGATTTCACAAAGTGATTGTGCATGGCAAAAGGTTTCTAGAAAAACGCACAATCAAAATCGAACTCGCGACCGACTCGGGCAGTCATATACTGGACCTAGATGCAACACATTATAAATAAGATGCAAAAATAGTGAGGGTGGAGTACCTGCACGCTGGCGTGTATGTATGCGTCGGTGACGGTCAACAGCCGCTCCACGGTCCGGTTGGTGGTGGTGCAGTGCAGGCGCGGGGCGGCGGCGGGGGCGGGGGTGCGGGCGGGGGCGGGGGCGGGGGCGGGGGCGGGGGCGGGGCCGGGGGGCGCCGGGCTGTACCACAAGCACGTCACGCCGCTGAAGCCCTCGCGCACGGGGAACCGCTCCACGGCCAGGTTCGCCTGTACCCATATGTAGTGGTGTGATCGAATATGTGTTTAACGTAAGAACGATCAACATTAGGATCAAACAATAAGTTGAAGTAATACATTGCATCTCTTGAACTTATTTTTGGGTAAGGTCCGAGATGCTGACATGTACAAGTCTCGCCTTCTACAATTAAAACAAATAGAAAATATCTCTCTTTATATGGTCAAGTACATTACGATATAAGTTTGTTATGATGGTTATAACAAACGAGGCGGAATCCCAGCCGTAGGGAATTTCAGCCGAAGGCGAGAGCGTAGTAGAGTCAAATGTGTTAAAACGCACGTTTATCGTACGACGTTTTTCAATAGATTTAATTTTAAATAAACTCAACTTAATTTTAAACAAAACTATGATGCACACTGTTGCTTTCCTGCTGTTTTACTTTTTAAATCGGCGCGATTTTTTAAATCAAGTCAAGAGACTTGACTATTCAAAAATGCTTATATGAAATTTATTTGAACAAAGATTATTTCTACAAACCAAATAATTCCTTTTTATAATATTAGTATAAACGTGTGATCACCTTTTGTCCGTGCACGTTGTTGATGTATGCAGAGATGTCCTCTGCGGCGCTCAGCATTCGGGTGCAGGCGCCGTGCTGCTGCTCCGCCAGCGACAGCACCGGCTTGCTGATGTTCATCGCTGCACTTATCACGTCCAACAGTTTTGCACCTGGATATAAATTGTTATCTTTATTACTAATATTATAAACGTGGAGGTTTGTGAATATGGATTGATGTTTGTTACTCTTTCTCACAAAAACTACTGAACGGATTTTGATGAAACTTTACGGTAATATAGCTTACACATCAGAATAACACATAAGCTATGATTTACGAAATCTATATATATAAATAAAATTTGAGTGTCTGTTTGTAATATTGAAATAACCGTTTTTTACTATATGCATATGTATATAAATACGGTACATACACCAAAATAACAATTTTTACAATTTTTATCTGTCTGCTCCGGCTAATTTCTGAAATGGCTGGACCGATTTTGACGGAACTTTTATTGGCAGGTAGCATATGTAATAAGGAGCAACTTAGGCTACTTTTATTTTAGAAAAATAAAGTTAAATTCCTTGCGGACGAAGTCGCGGGTACAGCTAATATAATGATAAATGTCAAGTAATGTGATGCAGACGAAGTTACGCAGGTTCGCTAGTATTATTAAGCCTACTTAAAAGGCTTATTTATGCACACTATTATTGCGCCATATTCTCGGGGAAGGCATGTTTTGATTGCACATGCGAAAAAATCTAATTATGACAAATTTATCAGGAATTAACAACAATGGTCATTACTGCAACAAATGCTATTTCTAATCCCCATTCCTAGCCACTAGTTATACCAGTCCCATATGTCACTTAGACCTAACATAATAATCATTTTTGTTAAGTCCTGGTGATTTGTAAAGATTAGATTTTCGCATTTGCCTAGCCGATGGAGGTTAAACTATTAAGAAGCTACTGAGCTATCTTGCATTGGCATACCCGCTATAAATATTATTGTACAGTCGGTACAGTTGTACTTTTTTCAATAAAATACAGCCATATTTTATTGAAGAAAGTTTTACTTAATTTAACCCAGTTTTTTGCAATATTTTAGACATTTCATGAAGATAATAATTACGTAATAATTTCTTTTTATATTACGTAGGTGGCAAACAAGCATATGGCCCATCTGATGGTAAACGGTTACCATAGCTTAAGGATGCCTGAAACTCCAGGGGTGTAAGTGCGCGTTACCGAGATCCCGTCTCTATGTCACATGAGATTGAGCAAAATTAGAAAATACTCCCAATCCCCAATAAATGCCTTGCGTATTTATTGAATGTCCCCTTCAAAGAGATCAGTAAAATTAAAAACCAAGTTATTTACTCACCTAAGTCCCTTTCCTCGGTTATGTACTGCATATAATTTTTGATAGCATCCGCAATGAACATTACATCATCAGGATCTGTAATTTCAGCCAACGGATATGTCTTCTCCTGAATTAGCATCGCCAGTCTCTCCGTTGCATTCAAAGCAGAATACTGCACTAAACTCACATTCAATAAAGCAAATTGCTGAAGTAACTTGGTCACATTACTGATGTAGGAACATTCTGTTGTGTTTGCTGAGCCCCATGTAGCATTAGCATGGCAGTGCCTATAGGCTAAACCATCCCCATTCCTACAAGGTACTGCCGCAGTATGATTCAATAGCAGCTGAGGCCAGGAGTACAAACCTTTGTTGTTTATTGTATGATTGGTCATACAATAACGGGTTTTGTTTGAAAACACCAACACTTCAATAGTATGGTTGTGCCCTATGAAATTTGTATCGCTGTAAATACACGTCCAATTACCCATATGATGGTTTGTTATATTAGGAAAGTATACTGCTGTCTCGGCAATACCTTCTTCCATCATGTTTGTATTTGTAATATTGACATCGCAAACTTCTAACATTGGATGGACCCATTTCAGTTTATAGTCAGTCAAAGCTGATGCAAATGGTGCATTACATGTCAATGTAAGTGTATCACCTTCAAAGACAACTTGGTCATATGCTGGTTTCACTATTAAAGTCTTTGAAGGTAAAACATTGGTACATTCTGACAGATCTAAGTATATCCGCAGTTTTTTCACTACTTTTGTCGCCATGTTCTCAGGGAAGGCACATTTTGGATTGCCAACAAGTTTGACACTGGTGTTGGATGCCCAGTCTCCAACCCAGAGCATATTGCAGTCACATATCAAAGGATTATCTGATATATCTCTGTAATTAATAAACATAATAATTGTCCCACTGTCAAGCATTGCATATTATGAACTTATTTTTGAGTAAGATCGAAGATACTGATATATACAAAAAAGCCCTGCCTTCTATAATAAATAAAATTAGTTAACTATAATAGTTTTAAGATACAAACATGTTCACAATTAACTGAAAGTTTACATTGTGTTAATTCTATAAAAAATCAGGTACAGGTCTATTACAGATTTTTTATTTTTCCCAAAAGTAGATTAAATGTGTTAAAAAACTTTATACACACTACCACATGTTTGACACACACAACCCTAGAAGTATAGTCAATGATAATAGAATATTAATAAAACTTCAAACTTAAATTAATTATGGTTGAATTTCAACCACTGGGTGATCACTATTTATCAGTTAATACTTACAATTGTTTCAGTTCTATCAGATAGTCAAAAGTGCCAAACGCTAACACTGATATGTGATTTTGTGCTAAGATCAGTCGCTCCAAGTTGATAAGTCCCTTGAACATCTCTTTGTAAATCTTACTGATCTGGTTATTTGATAAGTCGAGCCTCTGTAGAGTTGTCATATTGTAAAATGCATCTGACTCTATTAAAGATATTTGGTTCTTGCTTAAGTCTCTGTAATATAAATTGTAAATAATATTAATTACTTTGAGGATCACAGTGGTCTAGAGGCTTAGTTTTACTTTCAATGGTCACAGGTTCATTACATACATTCCTCATTATCATTCATGATTATGATTGTTTTAATCGCTCTGGATATTTTCTATGTATTGTATTGTCATTATTGCTGTCAGGGTGTTTATCTATATGCATTATTATTAATCATAGAAAATGGCTATCAATTTGCCTAGTATGCATAATACAAGCTGTACTTTTTTTTGGTATTTGATGGTGTATGAAGATGTATAAATTCTATTGTACTCCTTGTTTGTTTATTTGAATGAAATTACAATATAGAATGGGTGCTAGTACTTAACAGTATGAACAAGGTACTGCCAATTTCACCAGGAATTAGAACAATACTCTATAGTTATAACTAATTTAAATTGTGACAGTATACTGTTCTCTGATTTAGGGTAATTCAAGAAACATATTTTACAAATTAGATCAAATTCAACTTACAATTTTTGTAAATTTGGTAGATGCAGTTCTCTTGATAATGTTGATATGGCATTACCAGACAAATTCCTGGAACAACAATCTCTCATTTAGAATTAAAGAAACTTTTAGATTCTTTTTTCAAATTATGTAAATTACTTACAGATTCACCACATTGGTCCATAATTTGCTTAAATCAATTTCCTTCAGTTCGGTGATCTGTGCCGGCGTCCCTCCACATTTTAACCTCAGGAGCTCCCCTGGCATGGGCTCGGGGGCTCCTCCAGGACCAAACATCAATGGCGTGTCGGTGGGTTTGTTGCTCTTACACAAACAGAGTGATGGACAATATCCAAGCACTCTGTACACACACACAAACACTAACAAAACAATCACCCGCCACTGCATGACGACTATTTCAGATAAAACTTTAATTAAATCTATGGCACAAAGCCAATTACGAGAAATAATCACATTTTAGAAAATATTTATTTCGTCAATGACAATGTTCAAGGATTTTCCCAATTTAAAGTGTAAACAGTAAGGATTTTCACAAGTGATCAGATAATTATAATACTATCAGTAAAGAGCTGTTCAAGATGTGTAACTTTGAAAAATAAACAACCGTGAAATAATAGACACAACAAGTAGCAACAAATCCGACATTTATAAAATTTTGACGGACTGAACTGAACTGATCGAAAATGAACACTTTGATTGATTTAGTTGAAGAGTGAGTGACTGGAACTTTGTACTGGATGTCATTTTTCAAACGCGTTCATAGAACGTCAAAATGATACCATAGACAACTGTCAAATCAGAACTCAAAACTGTCAGAACGTCAAACTTTTAAAACTTGAACCGTCTCTCTTGTTGACCGTTGCTTTTGTTTTCCTTTGGTTTTATTTTTACTATTTTCAAATGCCTATAATTATATATATTTATCATGATTGAACAAAGGTATTCAGATAATAATCAGTCAAAACGTGACATACCTTCCTTTATTGAACCTCGGCCGCCTCTTATATTGCATCCATTTATGAGGCCTCGCCCACAAAAGGGTACTAACTTGATGGAATTATACGAAGACGAATCTGTGAGTGAAGAACCTGAATTAGTACAAGTGTACCTACGGCTGAAGCCATATCATGCCCAGAATAATTTGTACGAAGTGCGCTCAGATAGAAATCTCATAACATCCGTGGACACTGCCACTGCTGGCCATGGCCGAAGAACACAGCACAACATATCAAAAATGTACACGTTTTCTCATATATTTGACTCTGAGACCACACAAAAGGTAAGTTTAATCTTTATAGTCCTTCTAGCCATAACCACAGACAGTTTTATAATTCTGTAATATGTGGAAACTACTGGAGATACTAATTGCATTTCAGTAGTAGGCTTGCATCAAAAGTAATAAAATATATGTTATATTTTTTTTTATACCACTTAGGTGGCAAAGAAGCATACGGCCCATCTGATGGTAAACTATTACCGTAGCCTATAAAAATGATGACCAATTTTTTCATCACACAATATTTGTAAGCAATTATTTGTTAATTAGGAGTAAATGTGTGGTCCTGGCTTTATTAAAACAATTTTTACAGGCTACTAACTTTTTTAAAAGCCTTCCAGGTTGTTATATGATTTAAATTTTGCTGCAATTCTCATGAAACATAGTGTTGATTACTTAATGAGCAGTAGCATCAATATTTTATCTACAAGTGGAAAGGCATAGGTATAAAACCATACAGTTTAATCTTAATTAATTTTCAATTTAAAGTTTGTGTTTTTTTTTTCAGGAAATATTTGAGCATGTGGTAAAGGACAATTTAAAGAAACTGACAGATGGTCACAATTTCACTCTACTGACATATGGTGCTTCTGGTTCTGGCAAAACATACACACTAATGGGCACAGTGGCATCTCCAGGTCTGGTACCTCGCTCCCTTGAGTATGTGTTCAGAGTGGTTGATGCTGCACAGCAACCTGTCTACAAACCTTCAGAAGGTGGAGCTGATAAGCTTAATAATGCTGAACAGGATTATGAATTACAGGTATTGTTTTTAGCTATTGTAATTATCTATGATAATTGATATTGAACACATTTTTAATGTAATTGGAATATACAAGCGGACTTGATGGTAAATAATATCAGTTGTTGATGTGGGTACTTTGATTATTATAATATAGGAGGTACTTAATAAAAATGAGATTGGAAGTAATGCAGTAATAGCTCAACATGGTTGTTTGTTTGATATTTCCAATACAGTCAGTTTATGATGACATTTTATATGCATATTCAATAGGTTTGAGAATGGGCTACTATATGTTTTTCATACCCATAAGTGATAAGGGTTGTCCACTGCAAAAAAAATATTTTTATTTTTTGGACCATATATTTTTCAACCTTTTTATAATGTGGCATTAAAAATACATACAACCTAAAATTTTCACCGTTCTATCACCAGCCCTATTTTTTAATAGTGATTTTAATTTATATCCATGCTCACTAAAATGTCCAGACATGTGGCGGCGTGGTGGGCCGGGTCAATGGGCTCCCTAAAATATGGTCGAGCGCAGTGATGGCTGGCTCATCCGTCATACTCGTGAAGGAGTGCTGCTTGTAGGGACTGGTCTGCTCTTATCACTACGACTGATTTAATCTTATTGCATGATTATATTTGACCCAAAAAATTAGTGCTTGTTGGTAGTTTGTATTCACACGTTTCGACTTGTAAATGTAAACTTACAAGGGTTATTTAAAAGAGCAACACACAAGTTTCTTGCTCGTTCTTCTTGTGATGAGACAGCTTTCCGAACGAGTGGTAGATAAAAAACAAAGTGTTATGACTATTCAAAAGTGCTTAAATTAAGTTTATTTGAATAAATGATTTTCTATTCTATTCTATTCTATTCTATCGCTAAACAATGTTTGCAGGGTCAGCTAGCGTCTCTATAAAATGCTTCATTTTATAGAGACACTAGCTGACCCAGAATGAAAGATCAAACTCAGTATCAGAGTTTCCAAAAAACTAGAACTGAATACTACAGCCTGGAACGACTAGAACCAAACACTACAGCCTAGAACAACTACAACCAAATAGCTACAACTATAAATAAACAAACATTAAATAACACCCCAATCCGGCTGGTCTCTGTGGGGAAAGATGACTATTACCCTCCAATAAAATGCTTATCTATCTATAATAATCATGGTTGTTCCAGTGGGTGAAAAGACTGAGGCAGGTGTCAGCTCCACTGAGAGACAAGTACCGACGCATGAGTGCAGGGCTCCGCAATGACTTCACAGCTAGCAGTTTAGACCTGTCCAACAGAACTAAGCACTATGTGTGGGTAAGTATTCTTGAGATATCAGTTTATTTTATACAAGCTATATACTGCTGTTTCTCTGTGTGAATTAATATATAAATGTATTTTATATATTAATCCAATATATGATCTATCAGTGTGCCAAATTTGATTTAAATATGTTAGTGATCTTTATATGATACAGTAACAAAGATAAGTTTTCAATAACTTTAGTATTTATAGTGTAGGTTTGTTAATAAATAGAATTACATTTATATTTAGAAGTTATTCAAAATATATCATAATATTTATTTACTATAGTTACTATAATTATTATAATAATAATAATCTCAGAACAATTCACACAGCGCCATCTAGTCCTAAGCTAAGAAGAGCTTGTGTTATGGTTACTAGACAACTGATATAAATTTGAAGATATATTTTTTTCAAAAATATGTATATAATATACATAGATTGGTACAAAAAATCACTCATGAATGCAAATGATTGAACAATGTATGTAGGAAATTGAACCTGCAACCAACAGAAAAAAGACAGTTTGCCACACCACTAGACAACCAAGTCAATATGCAATAATCTTTATTTTCAGGTATCTTTTGTAGAAATATATAATGAGGGAATATATGATTTGTTGGCAAGTTCAGACAGGAGATCATCTAGTAAACTGCAAATTAGAGAAGACTCAAGTGGCAATGTGTTTGTTAAAGTAAGTTATCTTTCTTGATGTCAGTACCTTGTGGGTTATACATACCAAATACCAAAGATATTCTGAATCTGAATGGCAGGGATAATGGGAGTTTTATCATGCAATTAACAGATTGTTAGTGGTAAGAATGGTCTATTTGTCTCACGGACAGTCTGCCACATTTGTTACGTCTAAAAGTATATAAGATTTCATTATTTTCGTTTATTTAATTTGAGCTGTTTTATTCTTGTTCTTATTGTGGGAGAATCGAACTAAGGACCATTAGGAAAGGAGTCAACATCAACATAATTCAACAATTAACATATATGCTAGAGGATTTAGCATATATGTTAATATGTAAACTAAAATTACAAAATTGTATAATTTTTTTGTTTGTAATAGATCAAGTCAAAATGTCTTGGAATTTCTTACATCTATAGCAAGCTATAATACCACCGGGTAATAACATGGTCTGCATTTGTTAAAAAAAGTTTGTAATACATTCAATCTTATAATACTGGCGCCTTTGCGAAGTTGGGGTGATGTTTAATATGATTTATACAGGGTGTGGTTTAGCTGATGTTAAATATTATGGTTGTTAATAATACAGGGTGTGACACAAGCGTTCGTACGTAGCGGCGAGGAGGCGTATGACGTGATGGTAGCTGGGAAGCACAACCTGCAGGTGGCCGCCACCGGTGTTCATGCGCACTCATCACGCTCGCACTGTATCTTCACCATCACTATGCTCACAGAAACTGGTATGGTTTTTGTAAATTGTTAATAGTAATCTTGCATAAAAACTTTATTTCTAACTTTTAACTAGTCATCAAAAATATTTGTTTTTTTTAATAAAAGTTTCCTATGATCATTCTAATACTTCCAAGAACATGTGTACAAAATTTCACGATGATCAGTTCAGTAGTTTTTGTGTGAAGGCGTTACAAACATCCCTACATTCACATTTATAACATTATTAAGGATTGTATAAAGTTGTAGCGTGATGATTATCACTTCACCACTATAGCGTTATGATGTGATTTATTTCCTGTGGTATGTATACAGGTGTAATATTTGAACTACATTAGTAAGTTTATTTTATATTATGCTACATTTCGTATTAGTAACACATACATTAAATGTGGAGTTGTAACATGGACTTTATTTACAATGGACTTAAAGTCATGGGGAGACGTAAACTAATGAGCCACTCCATTAGTTACCATTCCATCCAGTGTGGACAAAAATATTACAAATGTAGGCACCTATTTCTACAAAGTGCGAGCGAGAAGTATACCAGTGAAATTTCTCTACAATCCTAAAGATCTTAACCTGTTTAGAACTGCAGTAAACTTCATACTAGAAGCTGTACTAGCAGGCTCATATCTAGGTTGCGCAGGGAGTGAAATACGAGCTACGTACATCAGTAAAGGACTGCTCTGAGTTCCCTCTCTTCCACATGATGGATCCGGCACCTGCACAGTGAATCCATAGAATGCTAAGACGTTCATTTATCTTGAAGTTACTGGATATGAATATATGAGACTTACAAATGTAATTATATATAAATGCGTGTAGAGGGCGTGGCTCGCACCGCGTCCGTCCGTCTGTGCGACCTGGCGGGCTGTGAGCGAGCGCGGGCCACGCGCAACGCCGGCGCGCGCATGCAGGAGTCCCGCGCCATCAACTCCTCGCTGCACGTGCTCGAGCGCTGCCTGCACACGCTGCGTCGCCGCCAGCGACACGCCGGCGCGGTGAGTACTCTACTACTGGACTACTGGACTACCGGCGGTACGGTGTACTACGGCCGCGCGTGCAGCAGTCCCGCGCCATCAACTCCTCGCTGCACGTGCTCGAGCGCTGCCTGCACACGCTGCGTCGCCGCCAGCGACACGCCGGCGCGGTGAGTACTCTACTACTGGACTACTGGACTACCGGCGGTACGGTGTACTACGGCCGCGCGTGCAGCAGTCCCGCGCCATCAACTCCTCGCTGCACGTGCTCGAGCGCTGCCTGCACACGCTGCGTCGCCGCCAGCGACACGCCGGCGCGGTGAGTACTCTACTACTGGACTACCGGCGGTACGGTGTACTAAGGCCGCGCGTGCAGCAGTCCCGCGCCATCAACTCCTCGCTGCACGTGCTCGAGCGCTGCCTGCACACGCTGCGTCGCCGCCAGCGACACGCCGGCGCGGTGAGTACTCTACTACTGGACTACCGGCGGTACGGTGTACTACGGCCGCGCGTGCAGCAGTCCCGCGCCATCAACTCCTCGCTGCACGTGCTCGAGCGCTGCCTGCACACGCTGCGTCGCCGCCAGCGACACGCCGGCGCGGTGAGTACTCTACTACTGGACTACTGGACTACCGGCGGTACGGTGTACTACGGCCGCGCGTGCAGCAGTCCCGCGCCATCAACTCCTCGCTGCACGTGCTCGAGCGCTGCCTGCACACGCTGCGTCGCCGCCAGCGACACGCCGGCGCGGTGAGTACTCTACTACTGGACTACTGGACTACCGGCGGTACGGTGTACTACGGCCGCGCGTGCAGCAGTCCCGCGCCATCAACTCCTCGCTGCACGTGCTCGAGCGCTGCCTGCACACGCTGCGTCGCCGCCAGCGACACGCCGGCGCGGTGAGTACTCTACTACTGGACTACTGGACTACCGGCGGTACGGTGTACTACGGCCGCGCGTGCAGCAGTCCCGCGCCATCAACTCCTCGCTGCACGTGCTCGAGCGCTGCCTGCACACGCTGCGTCGCCGCCAGCGACACGCCGGCGCGGTGAGTACTCTACTACTGGACTACTGGACTACCGGCGGTACGGTGTACTACGGCCGCGCGTGCAGCAGTCCCGCGCCATCAACTCCTCGCTGCACGTGCTCGAGCGCTGCCTGCACACGCTGCGTCGCCGCCAGCGACACGCCGGCGCGGTGAGTACTCTACTACTGGACTACTGGACTACCGGCGGTACGGTGTACTCCGGCCGCGCGTGCAGCAGTCCCGCGCCATCAACTCCTCGCTGCACGTGCTCGAGCGCTGCCTGCACACGCTGCGTCGCCGCCAGCGACACGCCGGCGCGGTGAGTACTCTACTACTGGACTACCGGCGGTACGGTGTACTACGGCCGCGCGTGCAGCAGTCCCGCGCCATCAACTCCTCGCTGCACGTGCTCGAGCGCTGCCTGCACACGCTGCGTCGCCGCCAGCGACACGCCGGCGCGGTGAGTACTCTACTACTGGACTACTGGACTACTGGACTACCGGCGGTACGGTGTACTACGGCCGCGCGTGCAGCAGTCCCGCGCCATCAACTCCTCGCTGCACGTGCTCGAGCGCTGCCTGCACACGCTGCGTCGCCGCCAGCGACACGCCGGCGCGGTGAGTACTCTACTACTGGACTACTGGACTACCGGCGGTACGGTGTACTACGGCCGCGCGTGCAGCAGTCCCGCGCCATCAACTCCTCGCTGCACGTGCTCGAGCGCTGCCTGCACACGCTGCGTCGCCGCCAGCGACACGCCGGCGCGGTGAGTACTCTACTACTGGACTACTGGACTACCGGCGGTACGGTGTACTACGGCCGCGCGTGCAGCAGTCCCGCGCCATCAACTCCTCGCTGCACGTGCTCGAGCGCTGCCTGCACACGCTGCGTCGCCGCCAGCGACACGCCGGCGCGGTGAGTACTCTACTACTGGACTACTGGACTACCGGCGGTACGGTGTACTACGGCCGCGCGTGCAGCAGTCCCGCGCCATCAACTCCTCGCTGCACGTGCTCGAGCGCTGCCTGCACACGCTGCGTCGCCGCCAGCGACACGCCGGCGCGGTGAGTACTCTACTACTGGACTACTGGACTACCGGCGGTACGGTGTACTACGGCCGCGCGTGCAGCAGTCCCGCGCCATCAACTCCTCGCTGCACGTGCTCGAGCGCTGCCTGCACACGCTGCGTCGCCGCCAGCGACACGCCGGCGCGGTGAGTACTCTACTACTGGACTACTGGACTACCGGCGGTACGGTGTACTACGGCCGCGCGTGCAGCAGTCCCGCGCCATCAACTCCTCGCTGCACGTGCTCGAGCGCTGCCTGCACACGCTGCGTCGCCGCCAGCGACACGCCGGCGCGGTGAGTACTCTACTACTGGACTACTGGACTACCGGCGGTACGGTGTACTACGGCCGCGCGTGCAGCAGTCCCGCGCCATCAACTCCTCGCTGCACGTGCTCGAGCGCTGCCTGCACACGCTGCGTCGCCGCCAGCGACACGCCGGCGCGGTGAGTACTCTACTACTGGACTACTGGACTACCGGCGGTACGGTGTACTACGGCCGCGCGTGCAGCAGTCCCGCGCCATCAACTCCTCGCTGCACGTGCTCGAGCGCTGCCTGCACACGCTGCGTCGCCGCCAGCGACACGCCGGCGCGGTGAGTACTCTACTACTGGACTACTGGACTACTGGACTACCGGCGGTACGGTGTACTACGGCCGCGCGTGCAGCAGTCCCGCGCCATCAACTCCTCTACTATTGTGCTACTGGACTAACTAAACTAACAAATATATGTTATAAAGCTACAAAAATTTTTATTAAATAACAAGAAACGGAAATGAAATAAAAATTACCCGTAGATAAGAATTGAATTATTTAAGAACTTCTTGTTATCGATTCTTCTTAATAACTGGAAAGATTGAGAATCCGTTTTATTATAGAATCAAACCAGTCGCTGTTTTATTACCAGTTATCATGTATTTGTTTACCGTTGCTATAGAACACGACCAAACCACTCGGTGTGGTGCCCTACCGCGAGTCGAAGCTGACCCGGCTGCTGGGCGCCGGCCTGTCGGGGGCGCGTGGGGAGGCAGTGAGCATGGTGGTGACGCTGAACCCCGCGCCCGAGTATGCCCACGAGTCCCGCCACGTGCTGCAGCTAGCAGCCGTCGCCGGGGACATACGTTAGTGTATTCTCTATGCCTTTTTGTAATTATTTTGTGGCTACGCTTATAATGCGTTTTGCCAACACTCAACACCCTTCCATTAAGCGGTCAAGCATATTTAAATCTGTTGTCATATTTATATAAATGTTATCTGGAGAGCCAAAATGATTAATTTTGTTTATGATTCTATGACACTAGGAGAACAGATAGAAAAGGATTATGCCTTGTTGATACTCATGGTACATTAATAGATAATTTTCTCAGGAGATTAGAGCAATTCACAAAGTATATACCGAAATTACCTCTTAATAAATTTAGAACACACACACACTTATTGAGCAAAGCCTACTACTCACTAAACTATTACTTAATATTTATCGTTTATAAAATGAGCATGAACTCAAGAGTTTTGTTAACCCATCGTGGCAAATGGCAATCTACCACGATGGTTTCCGCATGGAGGTCAACCTGCATGGTATAGTACACTGCTAACAAGGAGTATAGTAGTAAGATTTTACAATAAAATATCAGAGTCTGTTATAAATCTGCCAGAAAAAAGATTTAAATGTCAAATAAAACAATTCCTTTGCAAAAAAGCTTACTGTAAAATTGAAGAATTCGTTAACGATAATAATGTTTTTATAGAAAAACTTTAAATCTATAGCACTGACAATATTATCTGATTACAATAATAATGAGTGCGTAGCGACTTCTATGTTGATTATCGCATGCCTCTTACTTGTTATACTGTAATTATTTATATAAAAAAAAACATCTATTAAAAAGAGCAACACACAAGTTTCTTACTCATTCTTCTTGTGTTGAATCTGCATTCTGAATGAGTGGTAGAATCAAAATATGACTATTCAAAAGTGCTTGTAATGAGTTTATTTGAATAAAGATTATTTATATTTCTATTTCTATTTCTATCAGTCCACAATACTAATAATCCCCTTCCCTAAATATAACTGTATGTTTTTTTACAAATGTAAGAATATTATGTGATGCAAATTTTCGTACTAATAAATAATTTTTCTATGCAGAGGTGAACAACACAATAGCAGAAACTACACTTGAAAGCAGTAGTCAAAACTCAACGATCACGTCGAGTGCTGAAGTTATGAGGCTACGCGCAGACAATGAAAGACTACATTATGAGTTGGTGCGGTAAGTACTATACTAAACTATCTGTGTCCGCGGTTTTACCTGCATGAAATTTATAGCCTAAGTGTTATTCTCATGTATAAGTTAAGCTATATTACTGTAAAGTTTCATCAAAATCCATTCTGTAGATTTTCCGTGAAAGAGTAACCAAATATCACTCATAGGCTATAATTTAAAAAGATATGTAAATTGGGCGAAATATAATGATAAATGTCAAGTCAGTGTAATGCAGACGAAGTTGTGCGGTTCAGCTAGTATAATTTATATTAGAATTGACAAAAATATAAAAATCATGGTCAAAATGAGGATATAATTTATATTATATCTCTGAGGCCGTGTGTAATGATTATTTTTATTATGATACAGTGCCCAATCTAGTATCAAAGAGCTATATGCGAACATGGAGGAGCGGCAGCAGCAAGCGGCGGCAACAATGCAAGAGTTGGTGGATGATGCCAAAGACATGACGCGGCAGTACTACGAGGCTCAGCTCGCAGCACAACGCTCCAAGGTACCTTCATCATCATCATTTCCTTAATATAAAAATCAAAAATCATTTATTCATATAGGATATTATAGCCGCTTAAGAACTTCAAATTTTTTGTATTATAATTTTTCCCTACCATCCAGTTCAGTACATAGAATTAATTGAGAACTGGCAGGAAACTCAACTGAATTACTCGGAACCTGTCTGCATTCTCATATATGCGTTATGATATTCTGCATTCCTGCAATAATCTGTAAGAAAAATCCTATGATAATCTGGAAGAAAAATCACGGTATCTTATCACGTTTTATTTATTTTCATTGAGTTCCCGATATTTCGACAGTGTTTCAATCGCCATGAGTATGGGTAAACTGAATAGCAGCGGGTAGATGGCCAATAGAATCTTTTGTGGGCAGATATATATGTCTACCTTCACACATCTTCGTTTGTTGCTACTATTAAGTACTTAAGTTAGTGTAAAGTGTAACTTAGGTACTTACTTATATTACTTATTCAGCATATAGGTTTTTATTTATACACGAATAGTAAAACTTACTGACCACCGGATGAAGTAGTAACCGTCGTCTATATATATCATGATGTTCTGATATGATAAACACGCTACTCCTCATGTATTCACTTAGCGAAGGGGGCTGTTCAAGTATTACGTAAGCAGATTTATCACAATTATTTACCCCCCATCCCCCTTGTCAGCAAAAGTAAGCAAAGCTCTTACCCCTCCCCCCATGCTTACGTAAACATTTCTCAATTAATGTATTGTTTTTTTAGCAAAGACAATGTGACGGTTGCCATTCGTGTAAAAAAGTAAATTACGACCGATGACGTAATCATCATACAGACTCCCCCACCCCCATGTCATCCAAAATAAGCAAAGAAAAGACCCCCCGCCCCCCTATAGTGCTTACGTAATACTTGAACGGCCCCAAGGACTCAAATGTCATGCTTCCATATCCTATAATTTCACCATTATCTCACTCTTCAATCAAAACAGCTTACAAAGCAAGCTGGTTGAATACTGAAATACGAGAAACTTAGATATTAATACAAACGATTTTTTTTACAAAGCTTACTTCGTGTCTAACATTTATACGTGGTCTAGAGGTTTAGCACAACGCATTATTTCTGATGGTCGCGGGTTCGATTCATCGCACGGTGCTAACATTCGTATTCATGAGTATGATTGTTTGTATTCTATGTCTAGTACCCATAACACAAGCTCTGCTTAGCATGGGACTAGATGATGTTGTTTTAAATATCCGTATTTTTATATTTAGATGGATGACCTTATAGAAGAATACGAGAGTCGACTGAAGGCGGCTGTTCCTGCTAACGCGGACTCGCAATTGCTTGAAGATAAGGTATACAGAAATCTGTTTTAAAACCAAGTTATAATAATAATAATAATTCTTTATTACGACGGGAAGGGTATTGTTGATAATGTGAACTAACGGTCCCATACTTAGCAAATGCACCATGTCAGCTTGACTCTCCCTGGAAACCACATAATAGCATCCATGTATATATATGCCAGAATATATATATATTGATATATGTATATATAAATGTATTGTTCAGTTTATTTTTATCATATTTCAGATTACAGAGCTGATGACAGAAATAGCTATATTAGAGGTAACATTCATTATATCCTTTCACATTAAATGCATGTAGAGATGACTCAAAATTCAAAATCCTTTATTCATGTCTATTGCTGTTTCTTATGGTATATCACATCTACCGTTAGTTTGGAATTATTAAGAGGTGAGAAGAACTGACCAAGAATAGCTTTATCTCTTGTATTGTTTTCAAATAAATGTTGTACATGTTTACAATCATACATATTCATTTTTAAATTCAAATTTGGGGAATAGAGTGACCACCAGCATATGCTATTGCAAAAGCAAATAGTCTAATCAGAGTTCGTAACAAAATATATGGCCACAATTTTGACTGTAGTAACATTATAATAATGTTGTAGGAGAACTTAACTGCAGAGCAGCTGGCACGAGCACGCGCTGAACAGGAAGTACAACACCTCAGAGCTTGTATCGACGAAAGAGATGGTATTATAAATTACATTACATATAATATTTTCATTGTAATCATTATTTTAAGACATGCTTAAAATAATGATTACACACACAACAATTAGATGTGCAGTCACATCAGTTGACGGTTTGACGGCCTCGGTGCTCTGCTAACCGCTTTAATTCCTATGGTCGCGGGTTCGATTCCTTTTGTTTGTTGCGTGTTTTCTAAATATGTATTTATAATAAAAAAATATATAAGTTGTTTAGTACCCATAACAGAAGCTCTGCTTGCTTTGGGACTAGGTGGCTTTGTGTAAATTGTCCAGGCATATTATTAAGGGGTATGGAATAGCCTCCAAAATTTTCGTAAATTGTAAATGTAATTTGTAAATAAAAAGCGTTACCAATATTGTGATAATAGTTGTAGAAATAAAACTATATTTAAATGTTAATACAGATTCTTTTATTTCAGAAAAAGCTTTTGAAGATACCAATTCAGAGAAACGTGAAGATGTAATGGTTTTGAGTGATAGTGAACATGACAGTGAGGAAGAAGATGATGACCCATGTAATGAGAGTCTTGAACCCACCTTTAAAAAGGAAGATATTAATCGCTCAATACTGATTAGGAAGAATTTAAATTCCCATAATACTTCTAGTGACTCAACTCAAAACAATAACCAATTTAATAAAAATGATACCATTTTTGAAAAAAGTAACGACACACTGATGGAGCATGAGGGTAGTGATGCTTCTGATGAAACTAGTAAAGATTCAACATGTGAGGCAGGTGATGACAGTCAATCTATACAAGGAGCCATAGACAAATCGCTTAATAATACTAAAACAGGACAGTGTGATGCTGAAAGAGAAAGCAATGGATTGCTAAATAAATTAAAAACTACCGATGTTAGAGGTACTTACTGTGTTCAAACATTTGAGGAATATAAAGTTGGCGACATAAATAAAGAAGAGAAGTTGCTTTCACATTCCAAAGCTCCTTTCTGTGTCAACTATGATTTTGAACAACTGAAAAATTCTGCTGTTCCGGTTATTGATACTGATGTTACTGAAAATGCATCAATAACCACAAAAACTGAGGAAAATGAGGAAAGCATTAAAAAGGACAATGATGTAAATATAGATATGAAAAAAAATGATATTAATGAAATAAATTCTAATCGAAAAGTATCACAGACTTTAGTAAATAAAATAATAAATTCGGCTAAATCTACACCGGGCGATAATTCTTTGACGCAATTTGAACAGTTGGAACTTGCAACTAACACCTGCATTGAAACAAAACAAGTAGGTAAATACCTCACTAATATCAGAATTCTTAATGAAAAAAGGACTTACTTTGATGAACAACCTGTTATAAATGAGAATAAAAACAAGGAAGAATCAAATACGAAACCCGGAAACACATATGATTTAAACTCTAAATTAGTTCTAGGAAAACATGTTAATATTGACCATATAGATGATAATATTAATCATAATAGTGATTGTGATATTAAAAAGAATCCTGAACTTTTAAACGACAATAATAATTTACTGCGCTCTCCGTCCATTGTAAAAGATGAAATAATAACCGACAATTTAAAACCTAATACTTTTAAAAAATTACTGGGAGAAAGCTTGACTAGACCAACGGATTTAGCATCTGCTCACAAGAGCATAGCTTTAACAAAAAAACATGACTCTGTTGATATATTCGAAGGATATGATTCACCGCAACAATTTAATAAAGAAATAGACGTGATTGAAAACGCACGTAAATCTATTGAAAAATTGGTATTAGCTCAAAAATCTGCAAGTAAAACACAACAGAATGTTAAAAAAGTAGATAAATTACTAACAAATACTAAAATCGTATCACCCATAAAAGATAGCAGACCGAGTATTTCAAATAAAATACCTACAATACTCGATAACCCTTTGAATAAAATGGGCATGGTGGAAGACAATTTAAATATACAACAAGGATCTACTATTAGCAATAATACAATAGAAGATTTCGATAATATATTCAAAGATATTACTGCACCTAGACCAACTGAATTTGATCTACTACTGCATCAAGAAACAAATGTTACAGGAATGGTAGATAATGAGAAAATCATGACACATAAAATTGATAAACTCACAATGAATGAAATCAAAATTGAAGCTCAAAAACCGACTGAAGTAGAAGATGTGAAATATAATTTAAGAAATAAAGCGTCTATGAAATCTGAAAGTCTTAAAGTTTCTAATACAAATATTAAGGATGTAGAAACAGATGAAGTATTATTTGAAAGTCAGGCTAAATGTGAAAGCAAAACTAAACCTAAAAGAAATTTGCGTTTAAGGAGACGAAAGAATCAAAATGAAGAAGAAAAATCTGATTCAGATAGTGCTAATTTGAAGGACATAGTTAATTTGCAAGAGGAATTCTCTGACGTTACACTGGACATTCCGCCGCCTGTGAAAATCGTTAAAGATATCCATTCTCCTGAGAAATGTAAGTTTGAGGATGAAAATAGGCCTCCTGTCTTAGAAATACAGAGTTGCCCATCGAAAAGGTTAGTGATATATGGATATTTCCATAAATACATTCATACTATACAGTCAAAAAACAATTAATAAATAAGAAAAGTAAAAACCTGATTATATTAAAACATCTACACAAATTAATGTTTTCTGCTTCAATTAACATTAATTTACGAAATTAGTTGCAAAAATTCATACCACAATTCACTTCTGCACTAAATAAAAAATAAAATATAATTTCAAATAATAGCCTTATTAAAATATTTTTTATCTGTGCAGCGTAACCCGAAGCCGTAGAAAGTTATTCACTCCGCGCGTAGAACCCCTGGAAGAATCTGTGGGTCCCGCAGGCGACAGCAACGAGCGAATCTACGTTCCACGACCATCGTACCACCGCGCGCGAGCACGCCGCAAGCTGTAAACGTTATACTTTAGTGGAGCTAAGCTTTTTCGTCCTTATATTTTTTTATCAAAGTAACAACCATATAAATAGCAGAGTTTATGTATTGACATTAATGTAACCCATATTAATTAAAAAATAAATAGTTATATTGTAGTTTTATTTTATAAATGATCTGCGCAACTTTCTTATGGCTTATGTACCTATTATTGTGATTATAAGCTATGAATATTACTGTAAAGTTTCATCAAAATGCGTTCATTCGTTATTGCATGAAAGAGTAACAAACATCCATCCATACTCACAAACTAGCATTTATAATATTAGTATAAGAGTATGTATAATGTTATCTGTGGTAAAGTAACATTACAGGAAGAAAACATATTACTGCATATTTAGGTTTGATACTGGCTCCTAATACTACTTGAAAGAACATTGGAAACTAGATTTCACAATTGCATGTACCTACCCACAGAAGCCAAAACGTTCTTTATTCGAGTTAATTGGTATAGTGATATCCTAAATTGTACTACTAATGCTAGTGAGTAATATAGTATGTATCATAAAAATACGACATAACTTTCAAATTATTTTTCTATCAAAATTAAAACAATTTTTATGAACAATGGCACATGATAACGTGATGTGGTAGCGCTGCTTATGTATATAGGTGACTGTAACCGATTACCATCGAAGTTAGAATTCACGATATTTTGGTGGGAGTCGGGATAGTAAAGTTCTAAAACCCAATGCTGTCAGTTCCAATAGCAAATACTGAAAAGTTATTTCCGTTCTTACCGTTATAATCTATTTTTCATCATTTCCTTTCTGGAAGCCGAACAGGAAACTATTTTTTCGGCTGTACGTGAAGTCACATCACTGGTTCATAGACAACTACTCCCAAATGTCAATGTCAAATCGAAGACATCACCAAATGCAACAATTTCGTCTGAATTCAGAATTGTTTACACACTTGTTGTTCAATATTCATTGATTTATTTTTATTTATTATTTGTTAAATAATATATTTCTAATTTATGAAATAATTTGCGATCATGGCAACTAACGCCAGAGTAGCCGTATCGCAAATATTGCGCAATAAAGACGAGGCTGGTGATGAGGAAGATGAACCAAAGAAAAAGTCACGAGAAGACTGGAGGAAAGCCAAGGAGTTGGAGGAAGCGCGGAAAGCTGGTACTGCTCCTGCTGCTGTCGACGAAACAGGTAAATAATCCATGAAAATAAACCTCAGTCTCACCTATTTAAGACCACAAACTGTTTGCTTTATAAGTTGTGTTTCGGTTGTTGGGTGCAGATTAAACGGTGAAATTACATAATAAGAGACATGATATCTTAGTCCTCACATGCCACAGTTACCACTTACCATTAGGATGACCGTCAGCCTGTTTGCAATTGCAATTATATAAAAAAATCAATCACGATAAACAAAAGCAGTGTCACTTCATAACCAAACTCATTGTATGTTGATCTCTGTTCTCTGTAACCTCTAATTTGGTGTCATTTTGCATACACCTATTTCCCTTATACTTTTATTGTTACATTGTACTTGTAATCATAATTAATGTTTATTTATTACACTTTTACATGGAATATACATACAGTTACAAGTATATCACTTGGTTTCCAGGGATAATGGTGTAACCTAACATGGTACATTAATAGCAGTGGGATCCTAATCCCGTTGTTACTGGAGTGGGAACACAACTACTATTTTAATAAAAACCAAATACTAGTAAAAATGTGTATTCTTCCCAAAAGGGCTCATAGCGAAGTAACAAAACAATTAGATAGTCAAAAGTGACATATAAAATATAAAGTTTATGTATAAAAAGAATGGTAGCCAAGCTGCCAGTAACACCCCTTTTTCCCAATAACTGTAAAGTTATCAAGCATCTACTGAAATGTGCCTTGTACAATGTAGGTACATCAAGGATTCCATTTACCATATTGTTGCTCTTTGACAGTACTGATAATCCCATCTGCAATATGTATTATATATTTCTTTTTTTTTGTCCATCTTGCTGCTTTATTCCACTTGAAGACTCAATATTTATTAGAATTTTTTCCATATATATCCTGCAATCAGTCAAAAACTATGAACAGATGTTGTAAAAGTTATGTCACAGGTAGAGTGTGATTCCGAGCAGAAACATGAGCATATCATTCTTAAGGTGGTTCTGATTAGTCATCGGGTTGCAGTACTGTACACCTTTTAAGGCGATGTATGTTGTCAGGGAAACAATTAACTATTAACATGTATTATATAAAAGTTAAATAAAAAATATTTATTTTAAAGGCAAGGACATCAACCCTCATATACCACAATATATATCCTCGGCACCATGGTACTATGGTACCTCTGGACCTACATTGAAACACCAGCGGCCCCAGGAGGACAGAGAAGCTGGATTCACAAAACTAGACACATATTATTACAAAGGAGTGGATAATGTAAGTTAATAATCCTGATCATTATAATTTCTCTTAACCATTTGAGTGCTATGGGCTTATACTCATGTACGCCTAAAAATGCCAAGAAAGATAATTGCTTTTGATGATATATATATTCCTGAAAAAAAATGTGTAAGTCTTCAAAAATGTGCCCAATTCTAATCACTTCTTCCCTGTGGAGCGCTTGATGGCAATTGATTTTGGGAGCACTGGCTCTTCTGGGGATTTTGGGACCATGCGCAGGAGCACATTCATACTGTACTGTAAGGGTTATGATTTCAGAAATACCCCTCAGAGCTTTGCCTGTGTGCTCATAACTTTATGAGTTATATATATATTGACTTAATATATATAGTATATGTCACTGGAATAATGGACCATTATATAGTAACAGAATTTCTAAAATCAATGCAGGTGGAGTTTGCGTTGCTTATCATAAAATCTGCTCTCTATCGTTATAATATTAGGGTACATATTATATTACCCCCATATTGAAAGATATATATATTATAATTACAGACAAAGGTAGTGACAAAATTCAGGAAAGGTGCATGTGAGAACTGTGGTGCCATGACTCATAAAAAGAAGGATTGTTTAGAAAGACCTAGAAAGGTAAGTGCATGTATAGTTTTAAATTCTACATTTTTCTATTTATTAAAAATAAAAAGATTGATAAACAACCTCTGCATGAGGTAAAAAACTAGTTGCAATATGGATGTAGAGTCCATAATCAAAACTTGATTACTAATAAAGAAGATAAGGCCAGTAGCGGTGTGCAGGTTTCCGCATTAAATATTTGGCTTGTGGTCTTACACAGTTAATAGTTTGAATTAAACAAAATAATCTAATTCCATTAAGTAATACTACTATATACAGTATAAATTAACTTTATTTCAATATCAATTCAATATTCGATAGTCTCGGTGGTTGGTTTAGCACACTGCTTTACTTGCAATGGTTGTGGGTACATACATTTGTATTCATAAGTATGATTGTTTGTATAAGTCTGAGTAATCCTATTGTATGCTATGGCAGTAAAATTACATATGGATGCATGGCAACACAGGAAGATCACCACAGCCGAGTTACTGGGCTGGCGTGGTACAGGTGAAGGATGATAATCAATTCTACATTTGCTAATATATGCACACAGGGCTGTCAGTTATAAGTTTCTAACTTATTTACTTTTTAAGTAAAAATATTCTGTTGTTTATCTTTTTACAGATTGGTGCAAAATTTTCAAATGCTGGTATTGCAGCTGATGAATTTCAACAACCCAGTCTGAATCTGAGTTATGACGGAAAACGTGACAGATGGAATGGATATGACCCGTCACAGCACAAGGCAATTATAGAAGAGTACCAGAAAGTTGAAGATGCTAAGAGGGAGTTACGGGCGCAGAAGTTGGAACAAGGTTAATTATTGTTTTTACATAATTACCCAACGATGTGTTTTTTTAATGTACGATAATGTAATGGTGCATCTGCCTACACTAACGGTTTATGCTGGCGGTGCACCAGTGGAGGATGATAAGATGAACATGATTTCGTTAGTCGTGACAAATTCACCAGGAATTTATCATGATGGTTCCCAGTGGGACTGCATGAAGTTAGGAGGCTTACTGGGGTTATTAACCCACAATACTAACAATCTCCTGCCCGTCCTTAATCAATGTGTTGACAAACAAGAATAGAATTCTTTTATTCCTTTGCAATCAGTATGTCTACTATAATCGGATTGGTTGACAAATGGCAATGAGAGTCTGCAGTCCATTGATTGCACGCAATGGACTGCAGACTTCTTATTTAATGACGCCCTCGGATATACATTCAGGAATTTAGAACTGGAGTAACATTTTAACACACAATTACACAAAGTGAATAAAAAAAAAAATGTTTTTTGAACGGGCTAGGATATGCATACAATAGGTATGATGAGGAAGAAAGGGGAGGGAGATTGTTAGTAATGTACTGGTGGCTACATTACTACCAATATCTGGTTGATATCTAGGGATTATTCTATACACTGAAGGAACTGATTTCTGATATACAGCTCACGCTAGTTTGGGAGTTAGGACTGCATCAAACTGTACACTGATAAAGGTTTAAATAAATAAATAAATTCATATATATCCACAGATCCCACTGCAATGGAAGATGACGATAACGCTGAGGAAGATGAAGACAAATATGTGGATGAAGTGGACATGCCTGGAACCAAGGTATGGTATATATATATTCTGTGTTACATGAAAGGTTTTGAAAATAAAACATTGTGTAAATAAAATTAACTATGAAGATTCACACAGCTCCATCTAGTGCTTGTGTTATAGGTAGTAGATATAAATACAGTTTCTTTTTGTAAATATATACATATTATACTTGAACACCTCCAGTCCACACAAATGATTATTTGTTCGTTCCTTGAGAATTAAAATAATATTCAGGCAGTATATGAAATATCATCATATATTTCCTTTGTTAAATTTAGTGAAGAAATATATAGAAATATATAGCATTGATAATCTGTGCCAATGTTTCATAGAACTAATCTGTGCCGGATACTGACATACTTTCTCTGTTCTTGTTCTCATTTATGAAAAAGTCTTTGTACTGTCTAAACACATGTTAGGTATGATACTGGGGGCTGTATTTATATTCGTTTTGTTGTATATAAAAGTAGTATATTGAAATAAAAATAAATTACAGAAACATAAAATTATGCAGAACAGTATAAAATAATTAAGATTCAGGTGTACAACAATTAATCAGTATGTCTGAATAAGCAGGCAGTCGTTTTTTATTTTCCCGCGCAAACGTAAAGCGCCACAGATGTAGAATATTGCACGGCGCGCAGCCGCAGTACGACAGATGACGAGCGCGTCATAGCTGTATGCGCGATGTTAATACTACTATGAGTATACATATATAACATGTGTTCATCAATGAAATAAAATCTATATGTGTATTAATTAAAACTGCATATTAATAACTGCCAACAATAATTTTTGCCTCTCAGGTGGATTCTAAACAGCGTATCACAGTGCGTAACTTGCGTATCAGAGAGGACACCGCCAAGTATTTGCGAAATTTGGACCCCAACTCGGCGTACTATGACCCCAAGACACGCTCTATGAGGGACAACCCCGACCCGGCGGCTGCAGAGTAAGCAAACCTAAACCGACTTTAAAATTGGATAGATTCTCAGTTCTAAATTACACTATTAGTCAAATAAAATATTAAATTAAACGATGACCAAAAAAATCAAGAGGACCGTTTTTGTGCAGAATATTTTACTCTATAATTTTTATTTAAAACATTTTTTCATATTTTTTACCATTATAGAGTTATTTTGAAAAAACTAAATCTTTTTCCACCCATATTATTTTTTAATTGTTTTATTCCTCTCTCGTCGACTTTTTTCTCGTCGAATTTCTTTCTGAATAATATTATTTAAGTATTTGCGGACTTATTTTTATATGTAGCGTCAAAATTTGTCACATCGTAGTGTAATTTAAAATTTAATTTTATGTGTGATAGTAATAAAAGTTAATCTTGACTCGATATGTGAACATACATTTTCTTTTGACATTTTATTATAGTGAATCATTATGATAAATAATAATTCACAGATCCGAGTACGCGGGTGAGAACTTCGTGCGGTTCACTGGCGACACGTGCTCGCACGCGGCGGCGCAGCTGTTCGCGTGGGACGCGCACGCGCGCGGCCTGGACGTGCACCTGCTGGCCGAGCCCACCAAGCTGCAGGTGCTGCAGCGGGAGTACCGCGAGAAGAAGGACCAGTTCAAGACGCAGGTACCCACCACCACATACACATACAATCATAACGCAGTTACAGATAGTGACCGTTCAAGTATTACGTAAGCAGATTTATTACAATTATTTACCCCCCATCCCCCTCAGCGATAGTAAGCAAACCTCCCCCCATGCTTACGAAAATATTTTTCAATTAGTGTATTGTTAAGGTTTCTTAAGGGTCGGCAACGCGTATGTGACTCCCCTGGTGTTTCAGGCGTCCATAGGCTACGGTAACCGTTTACCATCAGATGGGCCGTATGCTTGTTTGCCACCTAAGTGGTATAAAACAAAATTGTTTTTTTAGCAAAGAGCAGGGATGAGGGATGCCATTCGTGTAAAAAAGTAAATAACTACCGATGACGTAATCATCCTCTAGACACCCCTACCCCCATGTCATCCAAAACATACAAAGCTAAGACCCCCCGCCCCTCTATAGTACTTACATAATACTTGAACGGCCCCAAAGCAAGAGAAGAAGAACCAGTTCCTAAGTATCATTACACCATTAGAAATAGCAGGAGAAGTAAGACCAGTTCAAGACGCAGTTACCATCAACGACACACGTTTTAGAAGGGAGGTAATAGCAGGATGTATCTTGATACATCTTGCTCGACTTGGAGCATCCAAAAAGCGTTACAAAAGGTGTTAAAGATATCACGTGATTAATGGACGACTTTGTATTGTAGGTGAAGCAATCAGTGCTGGAGAAGTACGGGGGGGCGGAGCACCTGGCGGCGCCTCCGCGGGAGCTGCTGCTGGCGCAGACCGAGGTGTTCACCGTCTACAACCGGGACGGAACGCTCGCCCACGGCGCTGAGAAACAACTCGCCAAGTGAGGCCGCGACACATCTTATCTTACTAATGTTATAAACTAGACGTGCCCGCGGTTTCACCTGCATTAAATTTCAATAAAAAATATGGCCTATGTGCTATTCTGATGCATAAACTATACCACTGCAAAGTTTCATCAAAATCTGTTCAGTAGATTTTGCGTGAGAGTAACAAACATCCATACTCACAAACTTTCGCGTTTATAATATTACTAGCTACTCGCCCGGCTTCGCCCGGGTGTACATGTATTATATATATAAATCTTCCTCTTGAATGACTCTATTACAAAAAAAAAAAGGTTGAAAATCCATTGCTTAGTTTTAAAGATTTAAGCATACATAGGGACGGACAAACAGCGTGTGTGAGTGTGGTTGAATAGATGGAGGGATGGATGTTGGTGTTACTCCTTCACGCAAAAACTACTGGACGGATGTTGATGTAACTTTACAGTAATATAGCTTACACATCAGAATAACATATATATATGTAATTATAAAAGATATTATGTAAATTGGGCGAAATGTAATGATAAATGTCAATTGTGATGTCGACCAAGTGGACCATCGACGCCGTTTTCATTAATAAGTGTTAATTTTATTGTACTTATAAACATTATGATGAATATTCCAGGAGCAAATACGAAGAAGATGTGCTGATTAATAATCACACTGCAGTCTGGGGTTCATACTGGAAGGATGGACAGTGGGGTTACAAATGTTGCCATTCATATATAAAGGTATGTGTACCACAGTAAACTTTGTACAAAGTCATCTGCTTATTCACCTCTTACCTATTTCATTTCACCATTTAGCTTCTTCTGTATGCTTTATTTCGGTGGAAAGATTAAGTGTTAAAATTACTATAATTGTCTTTCGTATTTAATTCATATATTTTCATTTATACCAATATTAAACTTAGAATAGGGGACGCCCTAAGAAAAGATGGATGGATTGTGTGAAAGATGATATGAATAAAAGAAGAGTATATTTAGATATGACGACTGATAGAGATCAGTGGAAGAGAATGACATACTGCGCCGACCCCAAATAATGGGATAAAGGCAAGGCAATGATGATGATTAAACTTAGAATAGAAACATTCGAAAAATTCGCAAATCGCTTGCAATTCCCATGTTATTGCGGGTGCTTATGATCGGCGGTATTCACTTACCATTAAGTGAGCCGCTAGGTCGTTTGTCCCCTATGCTATAAAGTCATCACTATGACGACTTTATTCTTTGTCTTTTAAATATCACACAATTAAACAAAATGTTTAGTGAAATATCGAACATAGGCGACCAATAAAAATTGAATAAAAAAGAATATAATAATGACCCTGAACAATTTACACAGCGCGATCTAGTTCCAAGCTAAGCAGAGCTTGTGTTATGGGACAGATGAAAGAATGAGATAAATATGAGATAGCAGTAAAATTATAGGATAAACAGCCATGATGCCTTATTATTTCCGAATAGCAATATATGGGGTATAATTATATATTATACTACCTCTCCCTGCAAACGTTGTTTTGCCTTAAAATAAAAAAAAAATTAGGGGTGGACTACCCCTAACATTTAGGGGGATGAAAAATAGATGTTGGCCGATTCTCAGACCTACTCAATACGCTCACAAAATTTCATGAGAATCAGTCAAGCTGTTTCGGAGGAGTATAGGAACGAAAACTGTGACACGAGAATTTTATATATAAGATAATTATACCTCATATAATATTATATTAAATATATATTAATGAGAATGAACAAATCTAATTACAAATACCAATCGCGATTGATTCGACTTGTAACTACATTAACCTATTCGCGACTAAATTTAGAGTGACCGTCCACTTGCCATCCTGTTTTCTTGTACCTCTTGAATGCCGTTCTTTTGAGCCATCAACTGATGGGAAAGTACTGGGATATATTTTCCAAAATATCCCTGTATCCATGCCGATTGTGTAACTACAAGTAGGTAGTTGTATGGACCTAGGGGATTTATACCGGTAACACAGTAGTAAACAACGAAAACGTTATAACATTCTAAAAAATATAAAGCATACACACTACAAATAAAATGTTATTAATTAATTTTTACTTATATTGTTTAGATGTCATACTGCGTGGGAGAGGCTGGCAAAACTGTAGTATTAGATGTACAAGAACCAAATACGACTGCTACCAAAGTTACTGCGGAGAAGAAAGAAAAAGGTGGGTGTAAAAAGAGAAAGCATATCAAGAAGACTCCTCAATATCCTTAATCCTACTATTCGATAGCAAACACTTTTTTTTTATAATAATTCTCCTTTTTTCCTCTTTTTGAATAATGAGGTAGAATAATAATAATAAGGTAGATGTCTCAACTATATCAGACAGCAGTTTATACCTATCCTGTATAGAAACTAGTGATTAAAAGTTGTATAATATATTTTCAGCAAAATCAGACAAGTCTGACTCATCATCATCAGAATCTAGTTCCGACAGCAGCTCGTCAGACTCCGAACCAGAAATCAGATCCAAGACTGAGAAGACAAGCAAGAAGAAGAAAAATAAGAAGAAGGCGAAGAAAAAGAAGAAGAAGGATCTCAAGAAGGAAAAACGAGTGGAGGATAAGTTAAAGAAGGTAAAATTTCATATTTTAACGAAATACATTCAATATCCGTATATCAGTCTAAATTCATATAGTGTGACTCCCACCCTAAAATATATTTTTATTTTGTCAGATTTTTAGTAATTTTGTAATACTGTGAGTAATATTGTAATCTGTTAATTTTTTTATTTCATTTTTTTCACGAACTTCAATACATTTCCAAATGTCACACTTATCAAATTCCCCTGCCCTTCTATTATACCTTATGGATGGCTTTTTCCCTGCGATTGCGTCTGCTTTTTATCCTTCTTAACGAATGATGATCTTATGGATGACTTTTTACCTGTGATGCTTCTATTCTACATGCTTCTGCTTTTCTAAAACAGAATATCCGTTTTAGAAAACCAGATGCATGCATGAGCATGTAGATGTTCTTTTGTTTATTAGTTCGTTTTCATGTTACAATTAATCTTCATGTAAAATTTCATTAAGATCCGTTTTGGCCGTGGAAAGATAACAAACATACAGACGCACCTTCGCATTAGATAGATTGTAGCGGAATAGAAAATCCGTTTAACTCATACTCATATGTTTAATTCTATCACTCAGGCTTTGGAGAAGGAAGAACGCCAACAGAAGCGGGCTGACTATCTCCTATCTGTAGACGAGAGGAAACGTCCTTACAACAGCATGGTGGAGGTCAAAGCACCCACTGAAGATGAAATGGAAGCCTACATGATGAAGCGGCGAAGAGAGGAAGATCCCATGAGCCAATTTCTCTCATAAAAATGTTGCTGCAATTATTTAAGTTATAATTATGTATATAAGATATAATAAAAGGTTTATTTGACGAATTTTATAAATTTCATTGAATTCTGCCTTAGAATGTAGACAGAAAATACTGTGTAGATTCGAATCTTCGTCTATGTAATACAGCCAGAGTGAAATAGTTAAATAAAGGCCAAAAAGTTAGTAAGAAGTTAGAAGTAGGTAGAAAATGGGTTTTTTTAAGCAACCTTTTTATTTAAATGATAATAATAAAAATACGGTTATTTTCCTAAACAACTAGGTATCCTATTCAATTGATCCCATCTAATCCTTCAAAGGTTGAAGTAGAACGGAGGAATAAATAATGCACCATGTAATTTTAAAAATTGAACCGATTTCATATATTATAATTTATGTCTATTTATTCCTTTGTTTATAAAAATAAATAGATATAATATAATATCTTATTTTATTATATTAATGAACTAAAATGATAAACTTCTGAAGTGTGCTTAGGGCAGAATAACTTTCGTCTATAACAAAGTACCAAAGCAAGAATATGTATGTGCAAGATATATACATATTATATAATTGGCTGTTGAGTTTGAAATTTTCAAATAACAAATTTATATAACTATTTAAGGAACAATAAAATCCTGTTTTCACTACGATCATTCTGTTAATGTTGCTGTAAATAGTGATTACTTGCTCAGTGGTCTGTGTGTATTTAAATGTTGCGTACTCATTATGATATCACGCATTATATTATAGTATTCATAATCCGTCCTAGTAATAAACCGATTGATCTAATCTTAATACTTGCTTAATGCTTCGTTTATAATAGTAGCATTTTATAAATATATAGTAATATTTGGTAGTTTTTTGTTGCAGTAAATAAACATTTTTACCATACGGAATTAACGAATGACACTTCGCCATATTTCTGAAACGTCAATCAAATAATGTTTTGTTCGTGTCATTTTTTAATTTCATTTCCTATTTGATTAGTAGACCGTCCTATTAGTTTGTGATTGTTTTAATAAATATATCGTTATGATGGCTGAGGACACGACAGCCGATGCGACTAGAAGATTAAACGTTAAAAAACAAACGCTGGATGACGCTTACGCGGCACCGGCGAATTTCCTTGAAATCGATGTTGTGAATCCAGTTACTATTGCTGGTGTTGGGAAGAAACGCTACACGGATTACGAAGTTCGCATGAGGGTAAGTCAATGGACATCTTGTAATCAAAGTTCAACGATATACGAGCGCCTTACACATATCTGTTCTCTTTTGTGGGCGTATTTTTGCTTTGAGTTTGCTTGACGCGTCAACACCTCCTTTACACGGTTTTGGGAGTAACAAGATCTCTTTCTTGATTGCAGACGAACCTGCCAGTGTTCAAGGTAAAGGAGTCAAGCGTGAGACGGCGGTATAGTGACTTTGAATGGTTAAGAAACGAACTGGAAAGAGACAGTAAGGTGAGACGAATGCCATTAGTCATCTGCTGATAGTAGCACGTATTTGTGTTTGTTATCAGCATGCAATGCAGTGGTTAACGATACTTCATTAATAATAGCCATAATGCTTGAAATTTGTGTTTTTTTTTGTCTGTTTAAGTAACAGATGATTCATAATTTATCAGTTGTCATAATACACATGTGACGTTAAAAACATACTTTATAAACAAAGGAAATGTAAAATAATATACTTATCGTAATGTAACTCTTAAAAAATATCATTAAGTAAACACTGGGAGCTGAAAATAAGAAATGTATGCATTCTATACACTCATAAATAACCATTCTATTCTTAATTACAGTGTTATAGAATAAGTGGGTATCATATTAGATATATAACAAATGAAATGTAAAAGCATTACACTGCCATTCAATAAAAAGTTATGGCTAGTATCTGATCTCTCTACTAAACTAAATGTGCCATGTTCATACTTATTATATTTTGAAATAAACAAAGACAATATTAAAACATACACAAGTCAAGGACTTTTGACATCCATGTATTGATTTTGCTACATATTGTACAATTATAACTCACTATCAATTTTATAATAAACTATGAAAGCTATATAATACTAAAAGGGTCTTTCGTAATTCGAAGCAGTAGTTCCTGAGATGACATAAAAACAAACTTATTACTTTTATAATATTTGCATATGTATGTGTGACATGGATTGTTTATTGCTATCATTAAACAAGTTTCTAGTCCAAATAGAATAATTTTATTGCAACTTCCAAAATAAGTATTTATAGCACCTTATCAGTTAATGTGTAGTTAATTTATATATTTTAATAGTGATAAATAACAACATAATGCAAAACATTGTAAAACAATTGCAAAAAATTTAAAGGAATTGAGACAATGTGAGGCACCATACTCTATAGTAATACTAGGTGTCTCGAAAAGTTTTAATTTCTACATATAAATTAATGTTGTTATTAAAAAACAGGGGTTCATTGTAAAAAGGTAAAAATTTGAAGTTATATGTTTTTCAATGCTAAATTATAATAAAATAAAAACAAAAGATTTGTCAAACAATAAAATAAATATTTAGTGGATCAGCCTTATCATTAAGGGATATAAGAAATAAATGTTGGCTGATTCTCAGATCTACCGATATACACATAAAATTTCATAAAAAAAAAACTATAAAGCGTTCCGGAGGAGTTTGGTCACAAACACTGGGACACAGAAGTTTATACCACTCTCAACAGGACTATAATGATATCCCACCATATAACTTTTTTTAAAATATATTTGTTTGGATTTCATACAGATTGTGGTACCACCTTTGCCTGGGAAAGCCTTAAAGAGGCAGCTGCCATTCCGAGGTGATGATGGTATATTTGAAGAAGAATTTATAGAAGATCGCAGAAAAGGTATTACATCTTACAATTTAATAATTATATTAGAAACAATACTTTAATAGGATGGAAATTATACATATGTAGAATAAATAATAAGTTTTATTTTAATCACTTGTTTATTCTATTTGAAATTGGACCTGGAGTTCCCACTGCTGTAATTTAGTGTTTATATATTGCTATATTTTCATACCGTAAATTATACGAAATATGGCTAGCAGGGAGGATGAATGTGGGTGTTTGTGGGTATAGAGAAAGAGGCCCCATATATCTATACTCACCCCACGAGTCTTCTTAAAGTTTGTGTGATGCCATTCAAGAGGACTAAGATGTCATGCCTCATATCCTGTAATTTTAATGCATAATTTGCACTAGGGATGTTATGGATATGAAATTTCGGATACGGATATAGGAATTATTATTATACCGGATATGGATACGGATGTGGATATGATAATATTTCGGATTGTCTGTTAGCTGATAAAATTGTTACATAACGTGTCTCAATTAGGCTCCGTCCTTTCCGACCTTTCCGATATTATCCGAAACTTTATTTCGGATTCATCTACGGTTACGAATATTTTTTTTATATCGGATATCCGATAGTTTCGGTGATTATGGCTATTAGTGGAAAAAATATATAATAAATATAAACTAAATATATTTATTTATGTTTATTTTATTTTCTCTATCCATGCAAAGGTAGTCTGGAAGAAATTGCTTAGCAATAAGATCGCTATCTGTAGTTTTAATTATTAATATATATTTACTATTTTAATTATTTTCTATATTTGGTGCAATCAAGAGTATAAATAAATAATATATTTAATATTCCTTTCCAGGCCTAGAAGTATTCATCAACAAGATCGCTGGTCACCCACTAGCCCAGAACGAGAGGTGCCTTCACATGTTCTTGCAAGATCAAGTCATCGATAAGAACTACGTACCAGGCAAGATACGGAATACATAATAGCCAACTATGGAGCTTGCCGCATTCGACTTTTAAGACTATTCTGTTTATGTTTATAATTTATTTTTTTATTTGTTGTTTTACGGCTCTGGATACAAGTCCTTTTGAGCCTTATATAAATTACAGTCCAACTAGGATTGCCATCTATTTTTTTGTCGAGACAGTCCAGTCCAGTTGTGCAATACAGTTGTACCAATTTATAATTTTAACATATTCAAATTGAATAATAACAATTACACAAATTAAGTTTCATCTGTCATGATTATGATTATATGAGTACATAATTTGTCGCATCTGTCAAATACGAATTGACTTTAAATTGAGTCACAGAATCAAGGCCCTCATTTCGTTGCAAAATGCCGAAAAATGCACGGAAATAAACAAAAAGTGTTCATTTTCGGCGTAGATTCAATGAATACGCTGGTCTAAGTTAATTTACCTGTAAATAAAAAAAGTCTTGTTCTCTAGAACCAATGAATACAAAAATACGATATATTTCATAAGGTAGGCAAATTTTTAAAGTTATTTAGTAAATACAAATGTTTGCGTAATATATACGTATATTTACATTACTTTTTGTGTTTTTTGTAAATGGCAATCCTGAGGTATTTCTACCCCAAAGAAATGGAAATAAATCATCATAATACCGAAAACACACAATACAAAAAAATAGCTAAAGCCGAATAAAGAAATAAAAAAGGGAATTGTTTTAAAAGTCGAATGTTTATTACCGCTATGAAGTGATGAATTGTCGGATATAATAGTATCATAATCCGCAGTAGCATCATAGACTTGAAAAACTCGATCAGGTTTCCCGCCACTTCATTCCACAGACTAAAAAAAATACCATAAATAAATGTATTTTTAAAACGTTTTTAATAATATTTCATTTTGTAAAAATGGAAATGTGAAAATATAGTCTGATGTGTAATAGATCCGTTTGTTCATCATATAATTAAATCAATTAGAACAAAATTGTTTATATTAAGATAACGTTATCGTTTACAATTAAGCAATATTATTGGAATTGTTGAAATTGTTTATGTATTGGCTTCATATATTAATCAGTTATGTTAAGGATTTCTGTTAAATAAACGTCACTGGATAGTTAAATAAATTTTAAATATACTTTAGTTTTACTTAACTTCTTAAGTAAAACTTAAGTGGATAAATATAATATGAAAACGTATAAATTGTATTAAAAGTTTGGGATACTCAAAAAGCAAAACAGAAATCGTATTTCGACAGATTAAAACTTAAGCATTATTTTAAATCTCATTAATATAATTTATGATACAATTCATTAAGGTAGTTATTATTTATTGTCTTTACTCAGAGTTTACACATAATATACGTTACATATTAGAGGGGTTTCGTAATACAGATGTATTTATCCTATAATATGTTGACGTCATGCGAGAAATTGCAGGAATTTTATATAGATATATAACTAGATATAGTTAAGGATTGATTTCATGTTACGCCCGGTTTACATTATGCCAGTTACTGAGTCCAACATGACAGCATTCATATGTATTGTCAATAAATAAAAGTTTTTTTTTAATTTGAGGCATAGATATATATACAGATTAGATGCAGTTGATTTCCAAATGTGGACTGTGATTCCAAATTTGATAATTTGAATAATTTTGATAGCTATGTTGACTTTTCGTATAACCAAAATTTTAGAAGAAATATTTTCATCTGTCAACATTTACCATAGAAGTATCAATGCTTTCTTTGGCTAGTATTTACAAATTCAAAAATAAGTTTCTGACTATGTAATTCTTACTAAACTACCAATAATAATTATTTGAAATTTAGGCGAATTTTGAGCATTGTATTAGTGATATAACATCATATTTTTTTTTACAAAATGTATTAATTTCCCATTGCGAAAATTTGTATTGGCGATTAACATTCAAATGATTGATAATTCTAAACATCACTATTCTAATTTATATCTAATATCAACTCTACATCATATACGGTACTGGAATCAAACCTGTTTTAATATTCCATTTCCAAGCCAGTTAACTGGAATATTGTAATTTGGGTGCCATGACCAGTTCACGAACTGGCATCGGCCTGGTGTTGCACTATTAGAAAATTACGTTGCGTCATATCATTATTATTTGCAATAAATGATAATTTATGTTCTAAACGCTTCTCGAAGGTTCTCAAGCAGTTAAAAGGAAAGGCAAAATTAATCAAGTCTGAACCATTCGATTCCGTAGCCTAATATTATAAATTGAGGGTGTAGTATAAATAAATTGTGTATTGATGTTTGTTTGAGTGCAGACAGAACTAAGTGTTGGCGGTGACATATATATATACTCGACGGCCTCGGTGATGTAAGGGTTTAACACATTGCTTTACATCCGATGGTCGTGAGTTCGATCCTCGCATGGTACAATTATTTGTATTCATAATATTGTTTACAAAAAATGTCTAAGTATTAATATCAGTTGTCTAGTACCTTAACACAAGCTCTGCTGACCTTGGGAACAGATGACTGCATGAATAGTTAAAAAAAATGCTAGCGATCCGCCCTGGTTTCGCACGAGTGTAAAATTATGGGAATTTCTATTTATTTGGAAAATAAATTAGTGTCAAATTTACTCGCTGATTAACATTTCTGTAGAGGTGAAGGCGTGTATGAAATTGAAAGAATAGAATAGAATATTAAATCATTTATTCAAATATACTTACATTGAAGCACGTTTGAAAAAAAAATCTTATCAAGAAAACTACCATTTTAATTATTATATTCATCATGAGAAACTCAAAAATAGATATATTTTTTGAGTTTGTTATGATGAATAACTAAAAATGCTAGTTTGCATGTAAAAGAAAGATAAACGAATATTCACAATAGATGTAATCATTAATTACTATCTATCCTTGGATATTACAGATATTATCACTATAAATGTTATAGGTATACTTATGTATAATTGCTTTTATTGACCAATAAATTATATTTAATTTCGTAGCGTTAATATCATTGTAAGTCATATTATACTGGGAAAAATAGCGCCAAACAAAATTTTGAAAATCATGACCTATTTCCACAGCGCTCGTCCGAAACATATGGTAGTTGAATAGACAACTGTAGTAATTTTCCATTTAGTCTATGACTATTTTTTATATTGGGATGTTTGGGCTATTGTCTGTAGCACTGCGACCTACATAGATCTATTGTGCTCGCCCATTTTCAGAGTTCGCTACATAGACCCGTCAGCGACAAGAATTGAAGGATATTCTTAGGAGCTATGGTTTTTATCTCCTCAGGATAGAGTGTAAACTTTCTAAAGTAGATATTACGTTTATGCTTGAGTGGGCTACCACATAGGATGTGTAGTGGCGTTTCCTCTTCAGTTTGGCAAAATCTAAGTTCATAATTAAGTAGTGCTTGTGATATTACTAGATAACTGATAGTAATAATTAAATATATGGTGTAACGTCATTTGATATTTGTTCGCCGTCATAACGTCCATGCATTCTGTCCGCACTCAGCCCTATAAAACTTTACTTGTGATAACGTTATAAAATATACATTGATTTGTTTACATTTGATGGCCTCCAGTGTGCAAAGTTGATCGGTAGCAATTTTTAATTAATAGGGACCTGAAGGTCCCTCTATCATCAATTACGTCACATGTTAAGTAGAAATAGTGTAAAATATGTTAAAATACTTAGGTTTTTTTCACGGATGATAATGGAATGGTGCACGCCTGCGCTAACGGTTTACGCTGGCGAGGTACCAGTGGAGGATGATAACAAGATGAGGTCAGGTTAGATGTGGTTTCCAGGGAACCACGTGGAGGTCAAACTGACATTGCTAGTAATGGGGTAAGGTATTAAATATATAAAAACGAATTTTATTATTTTTAAACTTTACCACCTATGAATGTGGGAGTATATATTACTGAAATGGATGTGACGTCGACGACCTAGAATTGTTAATAACATACATAAGACCCCCGATCAACTAGTTCACTGTAGTGACGTCACGATGACGTCGGTAGGCAGCGTCGTTCACGTGTAACTAATTTGGAAATAGTTGAACACCAGTAAACATCGGTTACATTGTATTATGTGGATCATATATAGGTTAATAAATAAATTTGCTATCATGTCATATTATTGTTTTATTTGTCTTAACTATGACTATATACTGACTGCGCATTGGATATAGTAAGCAAGCATTACAGAAAGCTACGAACATATTAACTTTTCTAAATATTCGCGCCACTATTCATAAGAACCTTCTCCTGACAACAAATACAACAGTAAGAGTATTAACAAATACGGTTCAGCCGTTTACGCCTGAATCCGTGACAAAGGGATTCATTTTTATATATAGATAGAAATATATAATATCTTTATTCAAATAAACTCAACATAAAAACTTTGAATAGTTATATTTTTTATTTGGAACACAGACTCATAAGAAGAAGAATGATCAGGAAACTGGATGTTAATTGTAAAAATAATCCTAATTTATCTACTACTCACTACTTTAGATAATTTAAGTAGATATAATATACAGAGACTTGCACTATGACAAAAAGAAACACTTTATAAGTCACAATAATGTAATCATATATCTTACTAATATTAGTAACGCGAGTGTTGGATGGATAGATGTTTGTTACTCTTTCACGCAACAACTGCTGAACGGATCTACATGAAAATTTACAGTAAGTAATATAGCTTACGCACCATGAGAATAGCACAGGCTAAAATTTGAAAGGATATTATGTAAATTGGGCGAAATATAATGATAAATATGAAGTAAGTGTGATACAGACGAACTTGCGCGGGTTAGTTATTATTTTCCTATAGCTTGTTCAGATTTGACACTGTTGAGGAACCGGCCGCGCGCCGTGCTCACCAAGGAGTCGTCCTGTCTCCATAACCTCTGTCCCCTAATTTCTATCTCATCGTGCCAAGCCTCTTGAGTTTTCCTAATAAATACATTTAATTCTTATTATTAACATATTTAATCGGGTCTTAACACGAATCATTTTATGTTAAATAAATAGATTTATGGTAACACAGTCAGCTATTTTTGGGCCATGTATTTTATCTTTTCATGTTTCGTAGATACTTATTATTAATTAAATTATTGAATTATTACATAGTATTAATAAATTTATTATAAATTAAAGTCTTAACAATATATTTTATGGTAAATATAGGTTTAGTGTAGTTTGAAGGTATTTACCATTAATATGGTAAATAAAGGTATTTACTAACCATATTAATGGTAAGTAAATACCTTTATTTATTTTAATTAAGAACTATATTAGTAATAAATACCAAATATGAAAGTTTAAAAATAACTCGGCCTAGACGGTATCTTCGGTCTAGTGGTTTCGCACAGCGCTTTACTCTTGATGGTCGCGGGTTCGATTTCTCGCTCGATACGAATTGTATTCAGCGACTAGCGATATATAATAAACCACTAGACCACCGAGGCCGTCAAATATTATAACAATGAGTACCTGCAATTGTCAATGAGTGGCACAGTATTGGGGAATATGTTCTGCAGCAGCATCAGACAGGGCAGAACTACCACGGAGAGGAATTGAATCTGTTCAGCTGGTTGGTTGATGCAGCGGCGTCTGTCCATCATGCTAAGTGGCGTATAGCCCATCTCCCGTTCTTTATCTCCCTGAAGAACACTTCCTTCGTGAGTGATCATATATTTTATTTATATCAGGCTACTAGGCCCATATTATATATACCTTATAGACTAATATACGTATGAATTAATATTATATAACTAGTATATTGACATATTATAATAGCCTGTGTGGTCACGGCACTGACGACGGCAATCTGCCACGGTAGCGCCGATACACCATACCCTACGGCCAGTAGTCCTCTATCATGAAGGTGGGCCACATGTTAGTGGGGACCTGGGTCAAACGCCTTGAAACTTTCATTGTGACTTGACTCCAGCTGCGTCCCCCTCAATGTCTGGTTACTTTTGGTTCGTATATAATCGAATGTCCTACTCCTATATATATACATGTCTGGATATAAATTCCTACTGTTACAAATAAAAACAAATTTCTGATTATCGACAGATGACGATAAATTCGCCTTCTAAGAAGTTGTATTAAAAAATTCTAGAAGATAAGACTGAAGACTTCTTGTTGCGTTCACCACAAATTTGACTATCGATGTTGTTTTACAATTATGTTACTATATTTTTTTGGAGAGTTAACCACTTGGTAGTTTTTTTATAAGCAAATGTTCAACAGATTATCTACATATTGTCTGGAAGATATTTCGTAAGCGATAAGACTGCCTTTTGCACCCTATTACTGTATTAATTTAAATTCCTGTAGTACATCTGTTGCAATAAAGAGACTATACATAAATTTTGGATCAGGCGGTAGATTGATAGATTGAAGTACAATTACGACGGCCTCGGTGGTCTAGCGAGTAGCACACCGACTTACTTCCGATCGATCCGGTCGCGGTTACGATTCCTCGCAAGTCACAAACATTTGTATTTATGAGTATTATTGTTTATATTGGTCTAGGTGTTTTCTATGTACATTATATATGGTATTTACAAATATCTGTATCCCTATATACAAGCTCTGTTTAGCCAGACACTAGATGGCGCTTTGGGGATTGAGATATTTTTTTTTTTTCATTATAAAACTCGCACCTGATTATAAAATTCGGCATAAATTGATTCAGCTGTCGCCTTTGCAACGCCAAATGGTTTACAACAACCGGATAAATCACATGTTGTCATTAATATACCCTGCAACAAAAGGTCATTACATTAATGCAATATCTTGCGTGACTCAGTGGTCTATTACCAAGACTTACCCCAAAGGACGTAAGTACAAATCTGCACAATTTTTTAAAATTTTATTTCCACACTTACAGCTATTTTTACAGGTCTTAGCCTAATAAAAATAAATGTAGCTTATAATAGATAAAGCAATCTTCGTGAATTCATTCAGAGAATAAGAAAACAGATCTATTTGCTCCTCTGTATGGTTTAATATACGCAGTTTTTCTGTCTGATTCTGCTAAAAGGCAATAAAAAGAAATTTATTGAAACCACTGCGATATACTCGTCTTCAGACATTATCACTATACTACTGACAAATACAACGAAAAGGCAGAAATAACAGCAGGTAGTAAAACCTTCAACATCCTCCGATGTGAGTTATCAGTCCAGTCGTAAGCATGCTCCGCGACAAGAGGCGTGAGTTGCGCTCTTATTTGGAAGTACACTGCCAGGTCTGTGCACAGGATATTGTATTTTATTTCCTCCATAACACGATTGCGGTCCAAATCTGGTAACTTTCTGAGGATATTTTTGTTCTGAAAATATTTCATGTAGAATTCATGAAATATTTTAACAAAAAGACTAACAAAAATCAGATTATCATCAAAATGCCTGTTTCGATTCTATTTATATAAATAAATATAATTAAAGTGCCCCTATGTAATACAAAATTAACAGATTCTCACTAAATGCATATGAAAATATGAAAGTATATAAGGTACTTTCATCAAAATATTAATTTTTTTTTGCCTGTCTGTTCGTTCTTGCGAATCTCTGACTTTGACGGGACTTTCATTTGCATAAAGATAATATTATAAATTTTTTTAAATAATTTTACTTTAATTTTTAAAGTTTATGTTTGCCATTTCAGCTATACAATTAAAAAAAATATCAAAACCCTGTTAAATACCTCAATAATCTTCTTTGCGAGGAAATAGTGATGATTTTCAAGCATCGACGACTTGTACATTGACGCCAGCGGATGTTTGCACAGAGTTAGGAAATTGTTATTGTAACCTGGATGGTCCAGATCGTGGCACAGTCCTGCCAGCATCAGTGCTACCGTCTGTCAACAGCATCTTAGAATTTGAATAAGGCCGTTCGATATCGCCACATAAACTACGCCACAAGAGTCACATAATGAACGGGTGATAGATGTAAGGCATATTCAATAAATAAATAATCCTGGACATTTAACACAGCGCTATCTAGTCCTACGGTAATCAGAGCTTGGGTTATGGGTATTAGATAACTGATATAAATACTTAGGTTTTTTTTTGTAAATACATACATAATATACTTACATAACACCCAGATCGATACAAACAATCATACTTATGAATTCAAATGTTTACACCGCGTGAGGGATCGAACCTCCTACCAGCGGAAAGCGGTGTGCTAAACCGCTAGATCACCGAGGCCGTCTATGTAATACTATGTATACATACATCTATATAGTCAATGAATTTCCTTATTTATAGTAAGAAGGTTTTTATGAATGAAAAAAATAATAAAGTTGCGTGAAACAAAATAAAATTCATTGTGAATTCAATATTCAATTAATTCGAAGAAATAAGCATTTAGAGTAATAAATACTTCTTGCTTCTAAAATCGTTGTCACTCAGGTTACGAATAATTAGATTAAAGTACTAGAATGAACAGAGATTAAGTGCGTAGCGGTTTCTATGTTGATTGTCATATGTCTAATCCTTGTTGTTAATTAAATATAAGTAATTCAATATTTATTTAAAAGAGCAACACACAAGTTTCTTTCTCATTCTTCTTGTTTTGAGTCTGCATTCCGAATGAGCGGTAGAATCAAAGAACTTGACTATTCAAAAGTGCTTATATTAAGTTTATTTGAATAAAGATGATTTCTATTGCTATTTATATTACCTCCACGAAATCGAAGTATCCAGAATTGCTGTGCAATATTAAATACATGGTATGGGTGAAACAGAAGGCATGCTCCGAATTGTGGTAAGGGTTACGTCTGTAGCAGTTCAGTATTGTGACTGCAAAGTCTGCCAGCTGATGCCGCTCGAAGTTGTGGTCCGCAAATATCTCCATGAACATGTAGCAGATGAGACCTGGCATGTCTTCCTTGCTGCCTTCACTTATGTGGTAATCGTAACTGTTGAGGTGGCATTTACACATTTATAATAATAATAATATTGTCTCAGGACTGTTTACACAGCGCCATCTAGTCCCAAGCTTAGCAGGACGTGTTATGGGTACTAGACACCTCAAATAAATAAATAGATTTTTTTTTTGGTAGGTAACATATTTACAAAATATACCCAGACCGCTACAGAGTTACAAACACTCAAACTCATGAATACAAATGTTTGTACCGTGCGAGGAATCGAACCCGCAACCGTTGGAAGACGGTGTGCTAAGCCGATAGATCACTGAGGCTGTCAATATGATGAATATAGTTGTGTATAAATCAGCTACTTAGTAATTATTTACTTAAGACCATCACTTACCTTCTGAAGTTGTTTGGTGGCAGTACAATACCATTGGTCTCCATTAGTTCCTCAATATCATGCTTACAAGGCTTCAAGTGTAGACTGATCAAGTCTGAATACATCTTGTTTAAATTATCCTATAATAAATAATTACATATAGTAATTACTAGGATCGCCAACTGCACGTGAAACCTCTGACTCCGTAGAAGTACACACGCCATGGTAACCGTTCACCATCAAGTGGACCGTAAGCTTGTGTTAGGTTTTTTTATTAATGAAAGTTTTATATAAAATATTCCGTTAATATTGGCAAATAAATGTAAAGTGGCAACACTGTCTAATAGATTGATGCATGGATTGACATTGAACTGACGTAGCGGAAGTGGAAGGTTGTCGTAACAGAAATAGAAGGTTTATGCCGGTTTTAGTGCGGCAGAGACAATGGCATCAGTAACGATAGCAGAGTTTATGGAAATAAAAGTGGCCCATAAAACCTACACCTCAGTCACAAGTGTCGGGCACTACTTGGAGTTTCTCACCCTGCCTTACAAGAATCCGGTACCAATATGGTGGTTACCTGGATTGCTAAAAAATCTTCACTATCCTATTGGAAAGGGAATACAAATAACGAGCGGTCTGGTTGGAGTTTTACTGAACTTGTTTGCTACAATTTAAAAAAATATTATGACCAGAAGGAGACTGGGTGTGCTGGTTATTATAATTATAAAAAAGTCACTCACGTGATAAATCTTCTTTTGTTGCATATTGTAGAAGTGTACTATCAGGGAGCAATGGCTGATGAATACTTTGAATACAGTCTCGTCTTCCTTATTGAACGGCAATGCGTTTGTTTTATTTGTTAACTGCACTACACCTGGTGTATAAAAGGTTTACTCGCAATCGTTAAGAAATTTAAAAATAAGTAAAAAATACAAACCCCTAAATATATCTCCAATTCTTAAGTTAGATAAAGCTGTGATGCACCCTTTCTAGGTTTGTTAAGTTTAGCATTAGTTAATTATTTGTCCTCAAGGAAGTTCAGTTCCCCGGGGATTGTTGCCCCCGGAGCCAGGGTAAAGGGGCCCCGAGGCCCCAACCTGCAAACTTCTAGGGGGTTGCGTAAAACTTATGTTTGTTTAAAATGGTCATGAGTCAGTCATTCCAGTGCGTGGGAATAAATTCTTTGACGATATAGAGCGGTGCGATGAAAATGTTGGGCCATTAGCCTGATTGCCATATTATTGACATAAAAGAATATTGAATTCGAATTTTGTGAATTCCTTAGTTAAAATTAGTGTGTAAGGAAGTAATTTATTCACCAATGACTCCATGTTTGTCCACAATTGGTGCAGCGAGACACGTCCGTACGACTGCTCCCGTAGTAGGATCAATCTCCTTCACGAATCTAGGGTCCTTGTACGCGTCTCGCACATTCAGGAATTCTCCTGTCTTGGCAACTAGGCCCGCTGGCGTTTGTTCTTGGCTTAAACTGCAACATTATGCAACTGTTTAACATCTTAAATAACACAATAAGTAAGTTTGTTTGTTACCAATTTATTTCTAAATGACTTAAACGATCCATTAGGGAAATACATAGCGTTTGATAGAAAAAACATCTGTCAAGTTATATTAAAAATATGGGAATTTAAAATGTATTAAAGTCTTGCACAAGCAAGACTTTCAATAAAATACGGTCTAGCTTGACCCCTTCCTTCTTGGATGCATGGACGACCGACAAACAACTATTAAGAATGCGTTTCATGATGTAAAATCCCAAAATATAATAAAATAAACTTTCATTCTCCACTATCTTGAAATCATAACCATAAGGTTATGATAAATTTTCGCAGAAGCGACTTATGAGTATATAAGTGATATTGTAGACAAATTACTTTATTTTCATTCTCTTCTTTGGCATGTTTGTCTTCTCCGAGGCCCACCCATCGTCCCACATGTCGGCCTGAATGTGTTCACCCACGTGATACTTGTCGATGATGAAGAAGCTGCTCCTCATAGCACCCATAAACGACTTCACAATGGCCTACGTTAAAAACAATACACACGTCAAGAGAGAAGAGGATTGTCACTAATGAAGACTAGTGGCTCCATTATTAACAATGGGCCATGTCAGGTTGACCTTCACCTATAAGGAACCCATTCTTATAAATTCCTGTGTATTCATGTTAATTTTACCCTTGGAGGTACACTTTCCCCGCTAGCGTAAACCACTAGCGCAGGCAAGTGCACCATTTCAAAATAATTCGTCAGGGAGGAAGGAAATTGTTAGTAACGGGGATTCGTGGCCCCATTGCTATCAATGTACCATATTAGGTCACTACAGAACATAGTGGTCCTCTCTGTTCTGTGGTGACTCTGTAACACATAGTAATTACTATGGCCTTCGGTGTTTTTTTTCATAATGGATGATAATGGCGCATCCGCCTGCGCTAACGGTATATGCTGGAGATGATAAGATGAATGTGTGATCTGGTGTGCTATTCCATTATCATTCATATTAAAAAGTATAAATTGTCATACCAACATATCAGTCAACATGGTGTCGATAGAAGCCAAATCGCAGAAATAGTTTTGCAACAACGCTCGCAGTTCCTCATTGAGATGAGCAGTCTTCTGTAGCGTGACACGGGCTTGTGCCTGATGAACTGCAGCGCCGGCCCAGCATGCCACGCTTACTACTGTGTATACCACATTCTAAAAGGGTAGGAAAAGACTGTTGGTAATGGGGGGACAGGGGATTGTTAGTAATAAGGAAAGCCAGCGTAAACAGTTAGCGCAGGGGAGCACCATTCCATTATCATCCATTAAAAAAAACTGAGGCCAACCCTGGCCCCATTTTTTTTAAACCCGCCTGCGCTAACGGTGGCGGGTGTACTATACCATTATTATCCATTCCAAATAAAAAATGATTATGATGAGGGTTGGCCCCATTTTTTTAAGTTATAATAATGGAACTGTTCAGCCGCCTGCACTAACGGTATAAACTGGCGGGGCACCAGTGGAGGAGAGCCATCGTGGCAAATTCACCAGGAATTTATGATGATGGTTTCCAAAGTCAATCTTATTTGGTACATCGCTAACACTAAAGTTAATTCTAAATTATGTGGAGCCGTAAGTAAATGGAAGTGTACCGAGTGGTGAAATAAATATTAGAAATGTAAGCACATAGTAATTCGAGCTCACTTCATCGTAAGGTTCCGCGGTAGTTCTATACAACTCTAGCACAGCATAGCACTCCCCGTCAGGTTTTACCACCGGCATCAGCAATGCAACCTTTGCGTCTACCCACTTGAGCCCTTCTGCGAATCGGCGGTCGCGTTGCACATCTTCTAAAAGTAGAAACTCCTTGGTTGCTGCCACATGAGCTGCTGCTACTTTTCCTTCCTCTAAGAATGAGATATACGTATTTTTTTTATCTTACTCTGTTAAGTAAACTTGTCAGTTTGATTCTCTAGAATTCTAGATACATGGCAGCTCATGAGGAATGTTAACATGACGATGTGATGTCGCTGTTTTATGTTACTGTAGTTACTTAGTTACGAACGAAATATGAACATGCAAATTGTGTTTCTACACAATTTTGACAATAGATGATGCCTTGTATAAAATGAATGAATAAAATAGATGTTGTATAAAATGATTACTGACCAATGGGTATGTTGACTTCGTGTCGTTCTGGTGTCTTGGTATTGTGTGGCATCATGACAATTTCGTTTCTTAGACTATCAACAATGTATACGAAAACGCCTGAAAAGCAAACGCAAATAATGTGTTGTGGGCGTCTTAGGGATTTACAATTGAATGAGTAACCGTCGCATATTGGGGTGTGTTTTAGTTGACACTGAAATGAAGACGATATCGCTTACCTAGTATCTACTATACTGGATTAACTAAAACATTACAAATATTTGAAATTATTATCTTTGTTCTCTGTTCCGAGTTGGTTATAACTTGTTTTATATTTATGCTTTGAGAATGGTCTTCAAGTTCTGGTATTGTTGGAGAATTTTGATTTTGTAGCAACTAGCACTTTGCTACTGTATGCCATAGGTATGAAATAAGACTTTAATAATATTTCTGTAGAGTGAATATTCCAATGTTTGAGTTAATCTAGTATTGTACTTGGGATCCATGAGAGATGCCATAAAAATCTTGTTAACAATATCCGTGGTGTTGTTCACGTATACAAGCGACGATTACAATTTATTATCAGATTATTTGCGATTTCAATTACTAAATAAAAAATTGTACAATTAGATGTTATAAAACTTAAGGTGACAGTGTAGTTATGTACATAAAACACTAGTACCACTTCAATTTCACATACAAAAATGAGGGGGGCATGTTGGGAACTTACCGGCACTGTTAGTGACAGTCTTCAGAACCATAGCCGTTTCGTACAACAAAGAGTCAAGATCCACGCTGTCCTCTAAGAACACATTGAACCTGTTTATGTCTAGATATCTCCCGTCCCTTACTTCCTCATCTTTCAAACCTTTCCTTTCTATCTGCGCGTACGGAGCTATGACACGCCTGGTCACTTTATCCAGCTTATCAGAGGGGACTAAAAAATGCGAATGCACTTTGGACATGTTCGGACGTTTGTTATCGTCACTTTGATTTATGGTGTCGAGTCTGCTTTTGACGGATTTAGCATTTTTTGGCGTCGGGTCGTACATAATTTCGTAATATTTATATTACAATGATATATGAGGATTGTGTATTTTATACTACTTGTAATGTCAAGATAGCTGATTGACGTGTGAATTGACAGTTTATATTAGTTCTTTATATGAATTATTTTTAATCTTACATTATTAGTCAATAGATCAACACCCGTTATACTAGTAAACGAATGCGGCTCGTAGGAACTGGTCCAATCTAGTAACTGTGCTATGACTGATTTATTTTGTTACTCAACTAACTATTTATGTCTACTATTTGGCAGTTTGTATTCACACAATGTTCTTAAATATGTAAATCTGAACAACATTTGTTTAACAGAGTAACACGCAAATTCCGTGCTAGTTCTTCGTATGATGGGTCTGCATTTCGAATAAGTTATACAATAAAAAAATATGTTTCTTCAAAACTGCTTATATTAAGTTTATTTAAATATTAAATCAGTGCTATAGCCATTTAACATGCGGCTATAATTTATCACGGTCGTGAGTTCAATTCTTTTGATGCATAATTTTGATTGTTGTATTAGCCCGTATGTATTTACGGAAATAAATTGTTTAGTACGGTAGCAACGATGGGTTAGTATTACCACAGATAAGAGAATATTAGATAACAATAATCCAGGACAATCCATAGTGCCATATAGTCCGACGCTAAACAGAGCTTGTGTTATGGATATTAGACAACTGATACACATTTTTTATAAACATATCTATTATACATATAAAACACCCAGAACAATACAAACAACAAACATATTAGACATGACTACGTGATATTATCTTATCGGTAGTATTTGCGTACTGAAAAAAACAACTTATTTGTTTCACATTTTATTACAATTTATTAGAGAGGATTGTACCTGTCTTTTTTTTAATATATTGTACGAACACATAGGCAGTGGCGTAAACAAACCATCTGAGGCCTTAACAATCCGAAAATACCCTTCCTTTATCTAAAATAGACACTCGTTGCAATTAAATTGATTAAATACAATTTGAAATTAATATATAATGGAAGTAATTGATTGTTCCTGTAAGCACGGCCTTTTGAACCAGGGACCTCCAGGGCCCATGGTATGTTCCCGCTTTGCTAACCTACCGTTACACCACTGCAGTTAGAACACCTAATATTTACAAGCTAGAAGGAATTAATTGTGACAAAACATACTAATATATATATATTTAAATTGTCCAAAAGTGTAAAACAACGTAACAACCAAGCACTGCAATATAATGCAAATAATATAAAAAATATTTTCATTCGTCTAACACTGCATTGTGTATCACAAAATAATCTAATATATAAAATTCTCGTAATCTTCCGTGGTTATACTCCTTCGAAACGTATTGACTGATTTACATGAAATTTCATATGTATATTCAGTTTAGGTTTGTAACTAATTTTTATACCCCTAAGTGTTAAGGGTGAGCCACCCCCACAAATTCTTATTTTAATTTTTCGACAATATTTTTTATTTTTATTTATTTATTATTAGCTGTTCCCGCGACTTCGTCCGCTTGGAATTTAACTTTATTTTTCTAATATTAAAGGAGCCTAAGTTACTCCTTATTAACATCACATCAGCTACCTACCAAAAAAGTCTCGCCAAAATAAGTCCAGCCATTTCAGAGATTAGCCGGAACAGACAGACAGACAGAAAAAAATTATATAAAAAATTATTTTGGTGTATGTACCGTATTTATATTCATATGCAAGTAGTAAAAAAATATTATTTCAATATTACAAACAGACACTCCAATTTTATTTATACGTATAGATGTGGCATTAAAAAATACATATAGCCTTAAATTTTCACCCTTCTACTACCAACCCCTATTTTTTAATAGCGATTTTAATTTATATAGCAAAACAACATTTGCGGAGTCAACTAGTTAAATATAAGGACGTCTTCCGATACATTGTACAAGATCGGAATTAAATCAATCCATATACAAATTTCCCTGTACACGGAGGTATTAAATTTAGTTTAAACAACTTCATTGATCAATAAAACATGTTACAAAAGGCGAACTTAACACTAGAAGCATTAATGCACTAATTAATTTGACCAAAGTAAACTTTGTACAAAGTCTTAATTGCTACATGTGTAAATTATTTCAGCTGCCAAGTAGCGTGCTTTGTACACTGTGTTACGGGTGAGATAGGGTGTTGGATTTACAAGGTACTGAGCAGTGTTTCCCAATCTTCCTTGTGGCATGCCCCACCTTAGACTTCCTAAAATAATTATGCCCCTCATCCCCCTATCTAAAATACATAATTTTTAATATTATAAATTGAATTTTTCACTTACATACATAACTGATATGTTTTACGAAGAAATCACTATGATTATTAACGTTACACACTAAGTAAATTTTCAAAACATACAATTAATGTAATACTGAAATTCAAATTCCAAATAATTTTAACAAATTATTGAATATTAATTATTATTTTTTCTATATTAATTTAATTTTGATGATAAAACAAATATTTAAGAATTTCCTTGTTTCGTTTAACATGGCACGTTAGCACCAAGATCAAGCCTTTAAATGGCCCGGAGCAAAAGGGACTCGTGTCGAGTCCATTTTTTAATTACCCGGCTTCACAATCAAACTGACCCCGTATTGGGCGTGGGGCCCACGTTGGGAAACACTGGTATAGTGGCAAGACCTTAGTCCTCCAGAATCGCAGTTCATGAGCAGTACGATGAGTATTATCTGGTGACGTCATACCTGCATATGTATATTGATTAATAATAATAATTTATGAATTCCTCCTCTCAAACATGAAACTGGATGGAAACAAATACATATAGTACTTTTGGATAATACAATGCAAATTTACAATTACAATCAATTGTTGCGATGCGTCTGAAATAAGTACATATATGCTATAATACAGATATACTGTATATAAATCACAAATATCATAAGCAACAGTTTCCATTTTTCCATCATGCTATAGCTATTCTATTGTAACTACATAAGAAAAATAGCAATTATCTTACTGATCCGTGTTTAAAACACGGAGCAAGTGGGGTTGACATATTGTAAGAAATATATTCTCTACGTTAATCTCAGGACATCTCACACAGCGCTATTCAGTCCCAAGCTTAACAGAGTTTGTGTATATATATCGAACATAGCACAAACTCTGCTATCGTACATAGATATACATTTTTAAATATATTATATAGAGACAAAAAGGCGCTAAAGCACGCACGATTGACAGTCGGCGCGCGCGGTTTTTCTCGTTCGCTTTGTTTTCATTTACATGCACAGTCCTTTTATGTCAAAGAGCGTACGTGTAAAGGCATGTGTGTATTAATATAACCGGATATTCGAGCCGTGTTTGTGAGCCTTAAGGTAAAGTAAGGGACATTTCACCTAATCAAGCAAATACATCGCCTAAGTCACTATATTACAAGATTATTACTATCTGAACATTTACTACTGTACTGGCTATTAACATAGAGCTTGAAGTAGTGACGTGCATATATCGTATCGATAAAAAAATATGTATCTACAGATACGGATACCACTCAATAGCATCTAGAACAGTGTTTCCCAACGTGGGGCCCATTCCGCACAGGAGGGCAATTTGATTATTAAGAGGGGCAATTCGAAAATGGACTCTTTATAAAAATGATGAAAAGGAATAAGATATAAAATTTTTCATTATATGTTTTGAAAATTTACTTACTGTTTCAATAACAATTTCCTTGGGATTTCTCCCTAAAATGTATTATTTAAGTTTCCTAAGTGAAATATAATAAAATTATATGTTAATTGTGTGTTATTTAATGGCATAAGAATTTTAGAAATACTTTTTAGTGCCACGCATGGGGCGTGGCACTCGGGACATGGGACTAAAAAACTTGGGAAACACTGATCTAGAAAGTGACGATAAAAAATGCGTATCCGCGTACAGATACTCTCATTACTGTCTCGAAGGTAGTGAGTTTCTGACGCAAGTCGAGGCATTAACAACTATGCGACGAGGTATAGTAACGATATTTAATGTAATCACAGATAATATAATATATGTAACATATCAGGTCAATCAAAAAGTAATGTCCGTTACTTGTTGGTTATATCCATTAAGTCCGTAACTCTCTCGGATATCAATGGATGCGCATATTTGGCACATCACTAGTTTTACTACTAACATTTAATACATTCATTGAAATAAGTTTATATGAATGAAAGACTAGAAGTGAATGAGAATATGCATACTTAAAAAACTATTACAAAATTAAATCACAATGCAATCTACCTGTCTGATAACAAGACAGGTGAGAACAACCACAAATTGGTCGGAATGCTTCATCTCAACTGCCAGTTATTACAAATGCTAATTCTTAAACAATTCATTGTCAAGACAATATAGAATTGTACCATTCTCGGATTAATAGTTTGTCGATGTTATCCATCTACCACAGCATTTTATGGTTATTATGATCAAACAATTAAATGAAAAACTTTATATGTTGCATGTTATTAAAATGTAACATTCTCATGTATTGTTCATATATAATATACATGAGAATAATTATTATTGGAAGACATTATCAACGTAATTGTTGAATTCATGTCTGTACATTTGTGCGCGCTAATCTCAGAAACAGCTTAACATATTTGGATGCGGTTTTCACTAATCTATGGTAAGTTTCACTTAAAATATTTATGGTATTTCAATGGTTTGGAACAACACAATTATAAACCAATACTATAATACTATAGTGCATATATACGAGTATGTAGTCGCAAGTTCAACTAGTACCGAAATATAATTGACATATACATGTTTTTTGTAACTACAAATATTTTTTTTGTATTCAAAGAATAACATGTTTGAATACAAAGAAACAATTATGGAAATTACATGAGATTTTACTCAGCAAGCAAAACATTAATGCGAGAATAGTCTTAAATATAAGTATAAAAAGGCGCGAAAATTTGCATTCTCATGTCATTATATTATATATATAATAAATAGTGTACACTGATAATTATTGTATTCACCCCAAATTGAAGTATTAATATGCACTATTATATCTATGTACAATCAAATATGAAGAGAGTAAGAGCTGAGTTCCTCATCAGTTCTTAGCTCAAACTACATTCCCAACGGACAGTACATTACACTTATCATAAATGTTTGCAATAGACCTACAAATTGTAGAGATACATACAAAGATATTTTGATTTGATTGGATAAAATTCATAGAAACAAGTTCCATTCGTCCACTTTCCATCTGCACTGACATGGACAATTGTCTAATCGTACAAGACACAATTTTAAGGCCATGTTATCGGCTTCCTTTCTCGCTTAGCTGGCGGACCATCTATTGATGTTGTCTGTAAAAAAACATTTTTATTCAATAAAGCTGTGTATGTTACTAATTTTTACCCGCGGCTTATCTCGCATTGAATCCATTAAATAAGTATTGGAGATCATTACAATAGATATTTTGATTACTGGCTGTTAGATGGTGCTGAAGTAGAAAAATGTCGTTGGTTAATTTTATTTTGTTTTTTATAAAAAAAAATTGTTTTTTTAAATAAAAAGTATTCTATGTTCATTCTAATACCTCCAAGAATATGTGTATAAAATTTCATGATGATCAGTTCAGTTATTTTTGCATGAAAATGTAACAAACATCCCTACTTTCAGATTTGTAATATTATTAAAGTAAGGATGTATCCAAGAGAACACAAAAGGAAATGAGGGTGTCAGAAAAAGAGGTGGGATGACATAAGGGCAATGGCTGGACCAACATGGAGAAGGTAAGCATTGGACAGAGAACATGGAGTCTATTGGAGAAGGCCTAGGTATTAAACAAGCTAATGAACCTAGGCAGTGAAATAACAATAAACAAAAACAATATTAACTTTACCATCAGAATATAATATAAAGTCTATTATTAACTCTATTTTTTTTTTATAATACTGTCTTTCCAAAGATTGTCTGTAAGAGATTGCATTAGCGATTAGACCACCTTTTGTACTTAGTTTTTTTTTTGTTCATGTCCTTTATACATAATAAATAAAATATTAAAAAAACTGTTATGAGTATGATGGTTTATATTGGTCTAGGTGTTTTCTATGCATATAATGTATTTACAAAATAATATTTACATAACTATTTATATCCATTGTCTAATACACATAACACAACCTCTGCTTAGCTTGGGACTAATTGGTGCTGTGTGAATTGTCTAGAATTATTATTATTATATTTTCCAAGAAAACAATTTGTTTGTATATAAATAGTTTTAAGAACTTCTGTCTTAGTCTGTGTGTTTGTGTAGGCCATTCTCAGAAACTATTAATTGATATAATTGTACTTTTCATTGATAAATTGTAGAAAATAATAACACATAGGGTTTGCTTCAGTCAAATTAATTCACAATAACATTGAGTTGAACTGTTCATTATTATAAACACGACGCGCGTAATGCCGCGGGCAGAACTAGTTAAAAATGGTTTAGTAGTGATACATACCGAATCAATACACAGTTTTCGTTTGGACATATCAACAACGTTGTTTACAAATTCAGATTTGATATCTAATCTCACTAACTTCACGCGCCCGCACAATTGATCGGGAGCTGGTTTTAGTCTCTCTGTGGGCCATGGATGTAATTGTTTTCTATTACAATTTACATTATTTACGTTAATCAATACTGATTTTGGTTCAGGGCTCGTCTGACGGTTCCTATTCATTCTTCCTCTACCTGTATCTCTTGGTTTTCTTTGACCGAAGGGCACGCAATAACTGTGGAATATTTCTAATAACTCATGCCTAGGTATACTGTCCATATTTGTAAAATGCAGGTGCCTCTGTAAACAGTAAATACATATCAATTAAATTGTATTCCAAACAATAACAATCTATAAAAAAAAATAGATGCAGCAAATTACTTCATGTATAATGTGTATTAGTTGATCGTTTGTTAACAATTCCGGATGTAGTAACATGTCACACGGTACAGACATTATGGTTTTTATATATTACACCATGGCAAGACGTAATTATATGAATTTTAGGAAAATGTGTTTTAAAAACTTTTTGTTATCAATTTCATTGTACCACAAAATAAAACGGACTCCCTCCAAGAACTTTACATCAACTGTCAGTCGGTCAATCAGTCGGCTTATCAGCTGTTGCCTTCAGTCAAACTCTGTACGTCACAAATAAATGACGTTTGACGGTTACCACAGGTTAGGTGCGGTAACAAATGTAGAACAAGTAGTGAAAATTAGTTTTAACACATAAACGAGATTGGAACAGTTTCATATCTCGTTATATATATATATATACATATATAGTCTACGTCTACTCTTAAAACAAATACAATTATAAGAATAATAATAGAATGGAATAAAAAAAAAGATTATTTATTCCATTGTGATTCATTTGTTGTTAATCTTACTTGAAATATAAACAACTGTGTAGACAACTGCGTCCATATCAATAATATGTAATGGTAAACTGTGTATGTTTGTTTATTACTCTTTTGTTAATAAATGGGTGAAATTAATTGAATTTATGTGAAATAAATTATCCCATGAGGAGGTTAACTATGTCTCAAAAGATAATCGCAATAGCGGATAACACATAGTACCTATTTTATATATCAGAAAGTTAGAAAAGACTAAACTATTACAAAGAATTTAATACTTAGTGAATTTATTCCATTACAATTAAAATGTTATTTAAATCATCCTTGAAGTAATAATTAAGCACAGTAACACATTTTCAATTGGAACTAAATAATTTAAGTATCGGTTATCGTTACTAAATGTCATACAGACAGCACTAGTTGTGTTTTGTCTATGATTGTAGAACAAGAAAAATACAATTTTGTCTTCGGATATATGTCATATTTTGGTTTGGTCTCTCTGTCATTTGTGTGCTTCGATTGTTTGCTTTACTATTTCTAACGTTTATTTTATATTATCGCAAAGATTTTATTCGTATTAAGTTTCCTTTACGCCGACAACTACTCTGTTATTTTGAGCATTCGAACGCTTTCGCATAAACTCTAGTATTATAATAGTTGGATACTTTTGTTTGGTTTTAATTTTAAATTCAGTCAGCTCGTGTATATATACCTTCATGTTTCTATTAAATATTACTTGAAACAAATCTGTGCTTTAGTGATTTTTAAAACACGCAAATGCAAATTGCCGTTAACGTTTCGATGACAAAACTAGTTCGAGTTTCGGCGGGAGCGCGGTGGGACTATGTTGTTTCTCGGTGCCTTAACGATTGGTATGATAACTGGGCTGCAGAATGCCACCACCGATTTGCCATCGACGACCAGTGACGTCACGGAGGTCCCTGAGTCCACGGAAAAAGCGACCGAGATGGGGTTGCTGGAGACGACGAAGTTATCGGGACCCCAAGTGGAGGACTTTGTGAACGTTACCGTTCAGGAGCAGCCCTCGATGTGGGAGCTGTACCTACACCACTGCCCCAAATGGCGGCCGGTTAATCATGTATTTTTTCAAGTGGCCAATATATTTTTTCTGCTCTCATTCTTGGCGCCTCATACCCCAAGTGGGTTAATATGGCTGAGGGTGGCGCTGATCATTGGCTGCGCGTTCTCGGGCTTGTGGGCGTGGAGCGTGGAGTGCTACCTGGACGGTGTGCTGTGGAACAGTGCATTTATTGTGATAAACTTTGTGTACTTCTCAGTGCAGTTTTATTTGATGAAGCCCATCAAATTTCACAAGGACATAGAGGAGGTGAGTATCATTTTAATTACAAGTTCATTTCTAATTTTATTGTATGTATGAAAAGTGTTGTGGTTTAGTGGTTAATACCTCAACTAAATCCCAAAGGATGGAAGTTCAAATCTGGTTGACAACATAAATATTTGTTTATTAATTTCTATATCTGAATACATACAATACTGAACTGTATACAATTAAGTATAAAGAACTATTAGTACTAAAAAAATTGAGATATGGTTGTAGGTAGCCCACTGCCATGTTGGGTTAAGTTTTTAGTGAAATGTAGGTATGTCATGTGTTGCATTCATTACACAGGTAATGTAGACTTCTTATGTTTCTAGCTAAGTAAATTTGGTTTACAACAGTTATTGTGCCTCTGTCTACAACAATAACATTAGTGGAAGTATAACCATCACTCCTAAGAATTTCCTTCCATACTTGGCCCTGACGGGTACGGGTACGGGTAGCAAACTTTGAAAAAGGGTGAGCACAATAGCTATGCTATGTAGGTTGAAGTGTTACAGGTTTTAACATCAGACAATAACCCATAACCCTAATAAAAAAAAAATTCACTTGTGGCATCAGTTTGTTTGATTTTCCAGTTACATAAAAAACTGTTAATTATGTGTGCAATAATTAGATAATTTTGCTTATGTACACAATAATTAAACATCAAATAGGTACCATTATTTAAACAGAGTTGTTTACAAATGATTTACATTTGTCAAGTCATTATTTTACTTCTGACATTATAAAGCTACTGCTGTGCCCATAGTTTCACTCCCATGAAATTTATAGCCTATATGTTAATTTGATGTATATGCTATATCACTGTATAGTTTCAACAAGATCTGTTCAGTAGTTTTTGCTTGAAAGAGTAACAAACATCCATTCATACTCACAAACTTTCACATTTATAAGATATTTGAAATAGTTTGAAGCTACAGTTTTATTGAGAAACATAGTCTATTATAATGCCTAAGATCCAGATTTCTATTATTTAAGATTTTTATTTTGGACTACTCTAATGCTGTTGGCCCCAGTTGAATGTTACAGCTTTACCAGGTGATAAGAGGGCGAGTGCAGATGACACTCCACCTGGGGAAGGATTTATGGAGTGGCTGAAGGTCAACTTCTGGCTGACAGATACAACTTCAGTCTAAGGGCACTGCTAGGGGTTCAAACCTGGATCAGGCCATCATAATTTCGATCTCTGATCGAAATGGATGGAGGATCCATTGGAGGGGATTATTGAAGGTGGGGTTCGGAGGGGATTATTGAAGAGGCATATATTAAATGTGTATAACCCTGGACAATAACTGAAAAACAGTGATTTGTTGCTTGAGCAAACAATACACTGATGTGCTGCTATTTTTGTCTCACACGTTTTTTATACTTATATTGTTAACTGATTCCTGTAGTTGTGAATTTACTTTTCATCTTTTTCATTTATGTAACTGTACCTTGGGTATGTGCCATTTAATGCAAATAAAATTTTTATCTATCTATCTATCTATTAAAGGGCATCAAAGCAAAGATCCTCAATATCTGACATCTACTGGCTATTTTATTTTTTAGAGGATGATAATGGAATGGTACACCCGCCTGTGCTAACGGTTTACGCTGGCGGGGCACCAGTGGAGGATGATAAGATGAGAATGAGGTCAGGTCAATTAGCCCATCGTAAATTCATCTGGAATTTATCACGATGGTTTTCAGGGGGAACTGCGTGGAGGTCGACCTGACATGGTACATTGCTAGCAATGGGGTCGAGAGTCCACATTACTAACAATACTAATAATCCCTTTCCCCCCTCCACTGGCAATTACCTACGACTTTGTCTGAACAACCTTCATCCTATATTTAATCCCATTCTACAGATAATAACTTATCAACTATTATCGTAGGGTTAAGCTTTAAAATCCAGCTATGGCCAACAAGAGTTAGAAAAAAAATTATTTAATAATGCTAAGCTTAGATATATGTAGCCACTTAGAATCGTAACTTGATTTATGACACCGATCAACACAGTGGAACAGGCTACTTATAGAGAATTAGACTATATATGTATACGCTTGCAATTTCGCTAACATAGTCAACCTTATTTGGTCTATGGCCTTGGATAAAAAACTTGATTTTTATTGGCTCACAATACTATACGCGTGTTGATAAACTAAATTAGAGTCTTTGGTACAACATTTTACATTAACTTTTTAATTAACATATATTAACATATAACGATTATATGCCTTTTTCGTTCTTTTTTTTATCTTATTGGAATGGCAAAGAAGCTGACGGGCCGGCTTATCATTTATTATATTTATTTCGTAATTTGCAAATATTACAAAGCTAATTATATATTAGACCCCGCACTAGGCGAACTTGTATCGCGGGGGCCCCCAAAAGAATTTCCCGACGTTCCCGACCAGCTGTTCCCGCGACTTCGTCTGCTTAGAATTTAACTTTATTTTTCTAAAATAAAAGTAGCCTAATTTACTCCTTATTACATCAGCTACATGCCAAAAAAAGTCCCGTCAAAATCGCTCCAGCCATTTCAGAGATTAGCCGAAACAAACAGACAGACGGACAAAAATTGTAAAACATGTTATTTTGGTGTATGTATTTATATTCATATGCATGTAGTAAAAAACGGTTATTTCAATGTTACAAATAGACACTCCAATTTTATTTATATGTATAGATTACAGATCAGTAAAGTAGATTTGCAATATCATAAGAGTCTGTAATATACCCACACGAATAAAGATATATTAATTTGATTTAATTTGAAAAAACATTCGAGTTCAATTCTACATCTTGTACTGATTATATTTGAATGCCTTACTTTCTTTTTGTTTGTCAATAAAGAAAGTAAGGTATTCAAAATTTAATATACTACTAAATACACTATTTTATTATTGCCAACTTTTATTATGGTCAGGCAACTGTTGGCCTATATTTGATACAACACCAGCACCACCGAAATCATGTCCCTCACGTAACGCACGTAGTAAGATTTCATGCGTCTGAACCCTTAATTTCACTGCCAAAGCTCAACATATAACCAAAACACAATACATGTTGATTAGCGATTGAAAATTGTGAGACAGAGGTACACGTAGACAACTTAGGTACGGTAAAATAACATACGCGATTAAATAGAAAAAGGACATTGTTCAAAATTAGAACCTAGAATTATCTCCTTTTATATAAGTTAATTAAATTAAACGCGCCGTCTTAATCATTATCTAAATACTTTTAAAATCTTATATATTAAATTCTCGTGTCACAATTTTCGTTCCCATACTCCTCTGAAACGGCTTGACCGATTCTCATGAAATTTTGTGAGCGTATTAGTAGAAGTATCGTAGGTCTGAGAATCGGCCAACATCTATTTTTCATCCCCCTAAATGTTAGGGGTAGTCCACCTCTAAATTTTTTATTTCTACTTTAAGGCAAAACAACCTTTGCCGGACAGCTAGTGATATATAATACTTCTGGTAAATTTAAAACTTTAAAGGAACAATTAATAAATATAAATTTAAAAACTTTAAAAGCTTGTAAAGGCATGTCTTGTAAAAAATGTACATTTTAATACTGCCATTTTTCTATTTAACCGACGATATAGCACTACGAATGGAATTACCTACTCTCTTTTATGCCCTGTTGATACATTTTTTTCCTAAATATAATCTTATGTAATAATCTTCGCTTTGATCCATTAGTCGTACTTGTGGTAGGCGTTTGAGACATTTGTTAACTGAACTGACGGACTGAATGATTCTTAACGAAGTATTATATGAAGATCGTATCACGAAAACTGAGTTAGGCTATTTATTATCTCATATAAATATGAGCCTCGGTGATCTAGCGGTTTAGCACATCGCTTTACTTATCGCGGGCTCGATTCCTCGCACGGTGCAAACTTTTATATTCATGATTATAATTGTTTGTGACGTTCTGGGTGATTTCTGTATATATTATGTATGTATTTACAAAAAAATCTAAAGATTTATATCACTTGTTTAGTGCCCATAACACAAGCTCTGCTTACCGTGGGACTGGATGACCCTGTTAATTGTCCAAGGTTATTTATTTATTACTTAAGTAGCTTTGCAGTGAAATTACAGGAAGAGGCATGACATCTTAGTCTTCTAGACTAGCAACGCATAAACGATAGGGCACCATTTGATAACTAAATATGCGCAACGCTGTTCATGTAGGCGAGGTTACCACTTACCATTAAGTGGACAGTAAGTTTCTTTATAATTTTATTTATATAAAAACCTACTTCCTGTTAACATTAATTCTACGATTTTGTCATAAAATACCAGCAATTATGTTGCACGAAATTCATGTACCGTCCAACTCAGCGAACGGAACAGACGCTTTCCTTCATAATAATCGTACAGTAACCTTCATAAAAACATTTCCCGTATATTGAAAATGAATGGATAAAAGATGTTAATTCAGTTTTCTTCTTATGTAATGATAATTGTAAGTAGAGTGTAGGTTTCTGCACTGTCGAGCAAAACCTTCACGCGCCGAGGCCGTAGTGCCCCCAATTTCAATATAGCAATTTGACAGTTTTAATTGGGGTATTATTAATAATAATAATAATAATAATAATATTTATTCATGTGTACATTTTACATGTTTACCCTTTGTATTAATAGCTATTTCAAAAATGGAACTTGTGTGTAAAATGTAGGGAATAAATTTGTGGATGTATAATCGAAACGGTGGGCATTGGTGTAAATGAGAGTGTGTATGTATGAATATATGTGTGTGTGTATTGTTCATTTTGCAGAACTGTGTGTTAGCCGTAAGGTGGAAGTATTTGTTAATTATTTTTATTAATCTATATATAAGGTTATAAAGGCAAAGGAAGGCCGAAAAAGAGATGGATGGACTGTGTGAAAGATAATATGGTAAGATAGGGAGTAAATAACGAGATAACCGCGAACAGGGATGATTGGAAGAGAAAAGATATTACGCCGACCTCTAATAAA